CCCTCTTTATCACGGTTCTCTCGCATGTCCGGTTACCGTTGGAAGTGGGTGATAGGATCTGTGAGATGCTTGGAGGCTGGATTGCACTGTTTGTCGGTCCTGAGTATTATTTCGTTTCTTCGAGGACTTCTTTGTCTGTGAAGACCCCTGGTGAGGGTATGGGTTCTGTTGAGGATGCAATTCAGGCGATGGAGGCTTGGAATGTGGATTTGACGTGGTTTGTCTTTATGCAGTATCGCGTAAGAGCGGATGTGCTTACTACAAGCCATTCTGGGAAATGTGGTGGCGATACTAGTCTCCCGTTCGATGGCGAGGAAGAGCAGGTTAGACTTGCTGAGGTGGCGTTCTAGATCTTGCTCTTTGTTGATAGCATTGCATGGCATAGCATGAGATGAGATACGACTGTATTGTATTTTGTTCTACTTCCAATGTTCCAGTCATTTGTACGTGTACCAAGTGCTACTAAATATGGATTGAAATGAGGTTATTGACAACGTATTGATATGCATTATAAAGGAGTGGCGACTGGTGAGCTAAACTAAAATGAAAGCCAAAATGATCAACCCATGATGGGCAGACCAGAAAGAGGTCCAAAAATACCTGTCCAATCTAAGAATGGATGCAGCAAATAGCAAATAGCGAAGGATACATGATAGCGTACGCAACGTTTACCGTCTACTCGCTCTCTTCTTCACTCTCCTCGTCGCTCTCGGCATTCTCGAGCCACTCAATGAATGGCTTAGCAGCCTTGTGGATCTTCTTGCTGGTCGAGATGTCGACGTACTTCTTGCTAGTCTTGGCACCCCATGCCTTGAGGGTTTCCTCAGACACAAGGTCGTTCTGGTAGTAGCCCAGCAGGATGGCAGGGACCTGGGCGACAAGTTCCGGGTGATCCTGGCCAACGAAGCGCTCGGTACCACCGAGGAAAGCCTTTTCATGACGATCGGAGGTGATCAGCTTCTTCAGCAAACCAGAGCGGCTTTCGATCTGCTTGGCGATCTTCTCATCGAAGATGCTCTGTGCCAGCACGGCGCAAGTCTTGTGCTTGGTCTCAATGCCGAATTCCTTGGCCTTCATGTAGATCTCAACATCAGTGACATTGGTAACACCACCCTTCTCAGCAGCGGTCTCGACGATCCAGCTGCCCAGCTGCTCGTAGGATGAGGGTCCATCAGCTCCCTCATCGTCACCATCCTCAAGGACGAGAGCCCGCTTAAGGTCCGAGGGGAGATCCTTGGCACGAGCCTTGACGGCCTCCTCGGAAACGTCAACGGCCCACTCATCATCCTTGATCTCGACCTCAGCCTCGATGGCCTGGGCCTGACGGGTCACTTCATCATCGCTGTTAGCCTCGAGGGCAAAGTCTCCGTCATCATTCTCGGAGTTGTTGCTGTCGCCAGGGCTGGCTTCCTCGCCATTAGCGGCCTTCTCCTTGTTTCGCTCGCGGCGGGACTTCTTCTTCTCCTTTTTGCCACCCTTGGGGTTATTGCGAACAATGAAGGTGCTCAGCTTGAGGCGAGGGTCGACATCGGAGCGCTGGCCACAGGCTTTGCAGTCCAGGGTGATCTTCTCGTCCTTGATAGAGACGTCGGTCTCAGGGTTCTTGCACTTCTTGCAGAGCACAAACTTGGCGATGAAGCCGTCGAGGTAATCCTGGAGCTTGGGGGCGTCGTGAGAACCGTTGATGATCCAACGGTCGTCAGAGGGCTTAGCATTGGCCTGAGCACCAAGTTCAAAACCGAAGTACTTGATGAGATAGGCAGGGGGGCGACTGAGGGACTGAGCAACCGAGTTCAGGTTGACAACAACGGTCTTGATACCGTTGCCCTTGCCCTCGACCTTAGCCTGGAGCTTCTCCATCTTGTAGCGATAGAAGGGATCGGTGATATCCCGGCGAATGTTGACGGTGGCCATGATGACGGTTTAGTTGAGCGATTGGTTCACTAGAATGGAACAGTAGGCTTGCCTAAAGGAAAGCTGGGAGGATTATGGATGATGATGTTGTTGACGAGACAAGACATGCGTGTCAAGTTTCTTTTTTTTTTGTTATACGATGTGATTCTTTGGGCGAAGTCACAACAAATCGAGGAAAGATCCGGGGTATTCAGCCACAGGACCGAAGGTGTATGCTGCAAGGTTTCGGCGCGCGAAACGTTTGCAGCTTGAGCGGCAGGTGATGTTCGAAATTTTGGACGGAGGACGAATACATAGACAAGTTCGCGGGAAACTTCTCAACGTGTTGCTTTCTGGGAACGATCGAAGTTCTTTGAATCCGAGTCAGAGGTCGGACACCTGGCGGATGGTGGAAAGTGATGGTGGCGAGGCCGAACTAACCAGTGAGGAAAAATGAAGAGCGTAGAACTTGGAAGTCCACGCGTTAAGTAGATAAAGGCTTCGAAAATAACTCGATGCCTAGTGTTTGTGTGTTGTTGAGGAAAAGAAGAAAAAGAAGAGGAAAAGGCAGAATTTGACAAATCATGGTTATGTCAGCGCGCACGTGCCGGAAATAACTCGGAGTATAAACGACCATTGACAGTTGAATATATCACATATGATATCCTAGGAGTTTCAAAAATGGGATTTTGAAAATCGGATTTCAAGTTTAAGATTCTTTGTGTATTAAAATACATTTTTAATCATTCTTGAAGGATATATAAGTGAAATATACTATGTTTTTATGCATCCGGACGAGTACAGGCCGAACCTTCCAAGACCCCACCACGGGCACACAGCGATAAACGGCAATCTCGTTCGGTCAACTTAAGTACAGCGTTTTGCGTTGTACGAATATAGCCTGCTGACCCTGTCATTTCACTATTCACTATTTAACTTCCTTTTGATTCACTTCTGTTACAACACTTCGGATCTATTACCCCGAAATCCCCCGCTCTATCTTTCTCCGGAGCCAAGACATCATGCCCGTAGATCTATCGCTATATTTGGTCACGGATTCGACCCCAGCCATTCTCAAGGGGCGAGATTTATGTGAAGTGGTAGAAAGTGCTTTGCAAGGAGGTAAGTGGTGCTCCGGCGTTGCTAATTATTCAACTAATCCCTGCTGCAGGCGTGACGGTGGTGCAATACCGGGAGAAAACCAATGACACTGGTGTTATGGTGGAAACTGCCCGGAAACTACACCAGGTAACCAAGAAATACAATGTGCCTCTTTTGATCAATGACCGGGTTGATGTGGCTCTTGCCATTGGTGCCGAGGGCGTGCATCTTGGTCAAGATGATATGGGTTTGTTACTACGATTTTACAATAGTACATGTACTAATCTTAAATATAGATTTTGCGGAAGCAAAAAAGCTTCTTCCGGAGAATGCCATTATTGGTATCAGTACATCCTCAATCGAGGAGGCTAGAAAGGCTACCGCAGATGGCGCCGACTATATCGGAATCGGAACCATGTTCGCCACCCCAACGTAAGTTTTCATCCATAGATACTCTGTATGTCGTCTTCCAGCAATGGACGCTAATTATTAATAGCAAAACCAATACCAAGTCAGTCATCGGTACGGCAGGTACTCAGGCCATCCTAGATGCCATTAAAGACTCCGCCATTGGCACTGTTTCCATCGGCGGGATCAACCACTCCAACGTGCAACGAGTGCTCTATCAGTCTCAGTCACCAAATAAAGCACTGGATGGAGTGGCCATTGTCAGTGCCATCGTGGCAGCCGATGACCCTAAAGCATCTGCCGAGAAATTCGCCGAGCTTATCAAGAATCCTCCCCGGTTTGCCCAGGCTTCCAACCCTCCTCGTCCTAATGAGGCAGAGGCCTTATTGAACGAGGTGCCCCAAATCATCCGTAAGATGGTTGACGTGCATCCCCTCGTACACAACATGATCAACTTTGTTGTTTCGAACTTCGTGGCCAATGTTGCCCTTTCCATGTCAGTATATTATACCTAGCCAAACCGTTCTCCATGTTAACCATTGTACAGCGGTGCATCTCCCATCATGTCTCCATATGGCGATGAGGCCACAGACTTGTGCAAGTTTGATGGTGCCCTTCTGATCAACATGGGGACTTTGACTAGCGATAGTCTCCCAAACTACCTAAAGGCTGTTAAGGCATACAATGAGCGGGGGAACCCAGTGATCTACGACCCAGTTGGTGCAGCTGCGACACATATTCGCCGCAACGCTGTGACTCAGCTTATGGCCGGAGGTTACTTTGATCTGATTAAGGGTAACGAGGGAGAAATCCGCCAGGTTTGGGGTAGCAGTGCTGTTCAGCAGCGCGGTGTCGATAGTGGACCGAGTACACTTGACGGCAATCAAAAGGCTGCCTTAGCTCGGGATCTGGCTCGCAGAGAGCGTAAGTACACTATAAGTCTCCAACTGCGATTTGTCTAATTCCAAATAGGAAATGTTGTGCTATTGACCGGAGCAACAGACTACCTCAGCGATGGCGAGCGAGTCATTGCCGTCAAGAACGGCCACCCATACCTAGGCCAAGTGACCGGAGTATGTAGCCTTTCCAAATCCGTATTTCTAGTACCCAGCTAACAAATATGCAGACCGGCTGTGCCATCGGCACAATCTCCGGCTGCTTCTTGGCCGCCCACCGTTCTGACAGACTCCTCGCGGTCCTGTCTGGAATTCTCATGTACGAGATCGCAGCAGAGAACGCAGCGGCCAAAGAGTATGTTCGCGGCCCGGGTAGCTTCGTCCCGGCATTTGTCGACGAGCTTTACGCTATCCGCACGGCGGCGGCAAACGGTGATGACAGCTGGTTTGCTGGCCGGGCCAAGGTGCATGAGGTGAAGCTATAGATACCTCCATATTAGTAGACGATATGTACATAAGCAAAAGTTTGACCATAATTGAAATAAAAATATCAACCATCATCCCTCGGCTTTCCCCGCATCTCCGAATACTCCGATTCCCCGCGTTCCCCCGCTAACTCTTCTTTTCTTCTTATTCTTCTTCTACTTCTACAACCGTCCCAGATCCTTCAATCCTCACGTAAAAATTACAATCATCGCAAGAATGGCTGCCCCAACGCGCGCATCTCGAATCCGTAAGTAACCCCGGAATCTCAATGCAATACATCTAACATTGAACCAGGCAATCCCGCACTCTTGTACGCACATCCATATCAAACAATGATACCCCAAACCCAGAACTAACCCATCCCAAAACAGTATCTGCGACATCCAAGACAAATTCCGCAATGGAATCTACGAATTTCCCAAACTGTACAAATCCCATATCCCAAAACCACCCGAACCCAAAAACGCTAACAAACCAAACAGCGTCTCAACAACAGACAAAATGCTCCGCGCTGCCTCAACCCTTCAAATCCCCGTCTTCATAACAACTCAAAACCGCGCCAAACTCGGCAACACCGTGCCAGAACTCCAACAACACCTTAACGGCCCACACATCCGCGCCGACGTAGATAAGACCCTCTTCTCAATGATAACCCCAGAGATCGAGAAGTTACTCCCAGCCCCAGGTTCTGCGCCTCTAGATGTGATAATCGTCGGGATTGAGACGCACATCTGCGTGACGCAGACGACGCTCGATCTCCTCGAGCGCGGTCACCGTGTTTACATCCTCGTTGATGGAGTCAGCAGTATTAACCCCGAGGAGAGGGGGGTTGCGCTTGCTAGATTGAGGGATGCTGGGGCTGTGGTTACAAGTAGTGAGAGTGTGCTTTTTGAGATTCTTGGTGATGCTTCGCATGAGTCGTTCCGGGATATTAGTGGGCTTGTTAAAGAGACGAAGGAGAGTACGAAGGTGGCTTTGGGGGTTTTCTCGAAGATTTAATTGGTTTTGGTTGGTTTGGATACACCTTACTTGATCTTCCATAGGCCAAGTCTGGAACCAGCGGAGACTTGCGCTTATTTACCCTACCTAGTAGGAAAGTGGTGAACGTATTCGAATGATGATTTAGAATTATAGTATGTCTAGTGGCAAAGATATAAGTCACAGAACGTGGGTCACGGGACCTGGCAACAGTAACAGATTATTGAATTACTCCCTTAGCAATAGCACCTAGGCCTACCTAATGTTACCAGACCTAAAACCCTTTGTAACTCCTGCTAGCATAGCATGAAAGAAATTAAAAAGTCGAAGTCGCAGCCTTACGATTACTGATAGTAGAAGTCGTATGCGCTATCCAATTGTGCCACAGGGGCTAAGTGAATATCAAAATGCCACAAATTCTAAATGGTAAATTAAAATCTCATTCTGACACTCGGTTGGAAGAACCTTGGAGTCGCCGCCGATCACTTTTGAGATATCCACAAGTTCGTAGATTTCATAGAATATTAGTTCCTGCTTCGTGCCCATTTGTAGGTAGTCACCGATCGATAAAATCAGTTCGGGTGGAACATCAAACAGACGTGATATTATTTCTCAATGTTGCTCTCTCGGAGTAATCGCTTGGGTTCTGAGTCAGTTCAAATTTGATTGTGATGTAAGAATGAAGGCCGAAGAAAACGACAGTGACCTAGGTACAACTTTTTAGTTTGATAAGATTTCTAATCTCACGCATGGGGCTCCAGCGCCCCAGGGCTGCAGGGGTTCGAAGGTCGCTTCATTAATTATTAGCTACTACCCATCTGGGTACGAAGTTCGCACCTACGTATACTACATAGGATGTAATCATAATATTGGCATGGACCATGTGAATTAACTCGTAATCATAACATTGTTTTGCAACCCTCCCGTATCATCACGTAAAACCGAGATCATTTCAGATTCGGATGTAATCAAACATAAAGCCAAGCCTAGTATGTTTCATCTAGGACGAGGCGTTGTGAGGGGCCGGGTTAAGCCAACCAAACGCCGATGCACTACCCACGGGATTCAGCGTACCATGCTTGTCCGAGGGAGCCGTCGGATGGTGGGTAGAGGTAATCGGAGAGGACTTGTCGGACTGCTCAGCGGTAACACTGCCAGGGGCTAGGGCCGAAGTCGTGGAGTTCGCATGGCTGCTAGATTTTCCGGTGCGGAAGACTTTCATCTCACGTTTCTGGGTCGGCTTTTGGGTATTGGTGGATTTGTATTTCTTGGTATCGCGGCGCCATGCGCTCCAAGAAGGCACATCATCGGTTTTAGTAGAGTCAGAAGTCGGTAGACTGGAACTGGCGGGACGAACTTCAGCTGAAATGTGAGCAGGGGCCTGCGGGTGATACTTGTGAGGATCGGTATTCTCGCCGCCAGGTAGACGAGCTGATGGAGGTGCAGAGGCCGGCTTTTGTTGAACATTGACAGGCCGGCCGATGATACCGACGGATGGATGTCCATTAGTAGGATGTTTCAGTAAGTCCCCAGAATTGGGAGTACCAGGAGAAGTGCAAAGAGATTTGAACACAGAGTCCTTTTCAGGACGCACGAGGGGGACAGAGACACGGGTGTGGTCATCGTCCACCATAATCAGTTTATCTTGCGAGAACAGAATATCAGCATTGTGGGCGCGCATCACATCGCTTCCAATGATGATTTGAATTGAGTTATTGCCGACTGCTGTCTCCCGAACCACGAAGCGGATAGTCACAGTAGGGACTTGGTGAGTAGGTGTCCCAGGGCGCGACGAAGATGGGTGAATAAGTGCTTCAGGAAGATAGACTGGAAGCTTGAGGTACTGTACATCGCCTTCATGCACGATCATGTTCTCCATCCCAAATTCGCGGACCATGGAGAGAGTCAAAGTTGAGACGTAAGAGCCCGAGCAAACGGCTGCATACAGGAGAGAGTCGTTAGTGAAAGTGTCAGTCAACCAGCACCGGATGATGGATGGGACTGGTCCGAGCAAGAAGAGTCCAGGAGGGGGGATCAAAGGGGACTCGATAGTGGTAGCACCAAGCAGTCGAGTAGTGTTCAGACGCAGGCTATTAGTCCGAGCGGAATGGTGTGAGTGGCCAGATGAGCTCAGTCGTCCATCAGATTGGTGAGAAAAGGTCCGTTCAAGAAGCGGGTGGGTACTCAAACTGCTGCCGGTCCGTAGAGGAAGGTCGTTACTGGAACGGCTAGCCTGGGCGTTCCCGTGTATAGCACTTTCGTCGAAACGGACACTGTTGGCTCGGGATGCGCCCCGTCTGGGCTCATCATCGCCATCAAACCCCACCGTAGAGCTAGCCATTGCGGAATGGTGACCCTGATCGAATCCTTTGAAAGCATCCGGGGGGGATTGGAACGCGGGGTCTGGAAGAGATGTCTTGGTAAGTGGCGAGCTGATTCCGGAAGGCAGTGGACTACCTGGAGCGATTGTCCCAACCGAATGTGGAAATGGGGACACAGGACACCAAGGACTCCTCAGACGTGCATCGTCGTCCCGGCGACGCTCCAGTTGCGCGAGCCGCTCTCCTTGCTCGTACTGGGCAATGTGGAGCTCCTTCAGCTCGTCAAAGACACGCCAAATGTCGTCACGTGAAGCAAAAGGATATTGCGCATCCATAGCCAGTTTAATCTTCAGACTTCAAGGTAAAATAAAAGAAAGCAGAGAAATTGACGCGGGGGAGTTGAAATAGTCCGCCCTAAGAGCAGGGACGCGAAAGACGTCACTTGGATTCGACACCTTTTCTCTAATATCTCCTACCGCCTTCGATCTGTGAGACGGCCCACCGGCCGTCCACCCTGTCTTCGAAGGTCAAATATCTGGGACCTGATCAGAACATCCAGTAGGGAGTTAGAGATGATAGACGATGGTAGGTGGACACGCGTTTCAGTATGGCTGGTATCGTGATAAGTGATTCCTGCTGGATTGTAGGCAATTCACAGACAATTTCAAGTTCACAGAAGGATGCAACCAAGTCTTTATTGACGTAGGATATGTGATGCGCAAGACACAAGTTGCGTTACGGGTTATTTGGCTGTCGAAGCAAGGCGAAGCGAAGCGAAATCGAGAGCAGATCAAGGTTTCAAGATTTCCAATTAGGGAGGGTCGAGAGGACAATGAAGAAAATTATTAAATGATGGTTTCAGCAACAATCTTGGGGAGGAAACGATTAGTCCAGTAGTTTGGAGAGAAGCCATTGCAATCAATGTATCCATGGATGGTAGGCGGTGACGCACGATAAAGGCGGTCAGATGAAGGGCGGGCACAGTGAAGGCGGTGATCAGTTTCGCAGGTTATCAACTAGTGAAGATACGAAGTCCTTGAAATTTCCTTGAAATACCTTTCTGACTGGATAGGTTAGGTTGTTGGAGGATGTTTGTGGAGGACGCAACGAAGATGAACTAGCTAGTCACCAGCATCAACACAATCTTCCCATGTTGTTACTCTCAGGTGATGAGTCACCTGACCCGGGTGGATAGGGCCCACCTGAGTACAGCATCTTTATCTTTCCTAGAGCTTTCAAAATTCAGCGTCACACATGCCCTCTTCTATTTAAGGGTGGGAAGGCTCCTAACATAGCTCCATCGTCTCGTTTCGGCTTTGATGCTTCGGTCGAAAGCCTTCACTCCCTAAGTATGGTACCACAAGTTTAAATGACCAAGAACGAATTTATGGAATGCTCAAGATGGTGTGGGTATCGGTGTGCCATTATGAAGAGCTGGACCTCCAATCTCGAATGTCCCCCTAGTGAAATTACTGGCATTTTACAAGCTTTTCATATTGTTCCGTTTGCCCTTGGGGGTTTCACGAACAAAACTAACAAGAGATCTATTCAGAATGATTCTAAAACTGCTAAAAAGTCCGCTAAAGAGTCCGCTGAAAACCACAAGGTATTCTTCCACTATAAGACTACCGAAATATATAAAGGGAATATTTGAGAAGATCACTGAAACGCCTATATATAGGGCGGCATGAGCGGCCGGTGATTTATGTTATACTTGAATCCTATACTTGAAGTTTGTGTTAGGGATCGTAATATATTGATTATGATGAAAAACGGCGGTAGGCTAGGTTAAAATGTGTTGTAGCCATTAGACTAGCCAAGGAAGAAATGTTGGTTTTAGAATCTATCAAAAAGCATCCACGATGGTGTTCGCGTAGGAAATATAGTAAACCACCAAAGTAATGGCAAATATTATATTGTAAGTAAACTACGTACCATATAATCACAGCAAATTATATGTAACTATGGGAAAATCTGTCATGGCGCACTGGCAGTTGGAGACTGCTGTACTATCCCACCTCTGTTTGCTATGCTGTTTGCTAGTACCGAGTATAGACATGAGACCTTTGATTGCCAGTTTGCCACAGGTATAAATACTCTATCACTTCATAATCTTACACATAAAGGGCCGCTTGTGTTGAAAAACCGGGGGCCAAATGGAATCTAATTAGGTTAGACCACTGCGCCAACAGTATTCCACATTGCGATTGGCCATCCATGGGGCTTCGCACATATAAGCCTAGCATCTAGCATTTCATAGAGTATTCAAACTGCCTATGAGATTTAACACTCATGATATGATTAACATAGAAGAAAAAGAAGAACACAGTAGCCCTTGGACATAGGATCACATGTCCAGTCTGGTTGTGCTGTATCTACCATTCCCTTTTCAGACCCACGAGATCCTTATCCTGGTTCACAGTATCGCTAGCAGCCTCGAACACCCTGAGAATCTGAGAGTTCCTCTGCTTAACATCACCTAACATAATTTCGATTGCCTTCGCAGCCTGCTCTGCAAGAACCTTCTCATCTGCTTTTGATGCCTCATCTGCAATCTGATGTAACCGCTTAAGCCAGTATAACCATCTCCATGCACTAAATCCATTCGGCGCTCGCTGGCCTAGCTCCGACTGCGTATACTCCCAGCCACCTCTCCCAATGGTACTATGAGAGCACTCATTCCACGAGACATCGGACAAGAGTATGATATTATGCCCAGCTTCCCGGATCCAAGCACATGCAGATGGGAGTAACGAAGCAATAGTAAGACCATGGTTTGATCGACGAGGTTCTTCATCATCCGGCTCATCAGAGCTACCAAGGTGACGCTGGGTCTCGAATGTATCACGGAAAATGACCAGAGCAATCTGACAAAGTCGATCGTTCGCAATGCGCGTGGACGCAAGCTTCGCAAGGAAAGACGCAGAATTAAGACGCTGTTTTGAGTCCATTGCGGCGAAGTCGTGGATCCAGCAATCTGTCATGTCCGTCGCAAGGAACGGCATGTCGTTCCAGACTGTCCCGTCGAGAGTTCTTGCAATATCGATCCCAGCCCCCGGTGCCTTCCTAGTGAGAGGTCCGCGTCCTCGTGTCCGGACGATGTCGAGGACTAATCTGTCTTGCTCGAGGCTTTCGTGGGAGACGTGTCTGGAGCATTGGTAATAGATGTACCAGAGGGAATGCAAATGGTCTTCGCAGGAATCAATTGACTGTCGGCTCCGGCAATAGGTTAGGCCCATGATCCATGCTCTGTTATGTGCCGCTCCTCGGAGGATGTCGAAATTCCCTGCTCGAGCAACCGCTTCCATGTCTGCCCAATCCTCTGGGCCGCATACAGCGCAGCCGGAAGGCATATCTCGTGAGGTCGGTGATTCTTTTAGTAAGTCGTGCATTCTGACCAGGTGAGTTTAAGAATGTAACGAGCTGGCAGTACTGATCAATGATGAGGGTCACCAGGGTGAATATCTAGAAATGAGATGAAGGTAGGAGAGATAGAGTGTGGGATTAGACGGATATATTATTCCTAAAAATAAGAAGACACTTGGGGTGGAAAAGAATGGTAAAGATACTGCTGTCTCTGTGACAGGCAGCAATGATCTTTTTCTTTTAACCAGACCGGTATACCATTGGTGACACACCCCTGTTCAGGGCAGGATATCCACTTGGGATCAGCAAGGATCAGCAGAAGGCGTCTTCATGACTCGATATCTGGGGCCGCCCCGGGGGCTAGATATGCGAATTCTGACTAGACTCTCGTGCTGTACTCCACAGTGGAGTTGAAAATAAGTACAACGAGTCGAATGAGAACAAGATGCCAGTTCATACAAAATGCTGGTATACAACATAGTGTAGAAAACAGGACAACATATACTGAAATTTAGCAAACTTGCATGTGGTCCTATACAGTGCTTCAGAATCAGCCCAGTAGCACAGAACTCCAGCTACGATTATTACCAACTTTTTTAAATCATTTGAATGTTAATCCATCTGGAGTCTGGAAATTGCACGTCGGATACTATTAAGGACATTGATGCTATAGCTCACAATTGTTACCAACGCCAGAAGTATATAAACGATGATCTCAAGGACGGAGCCTCTACGGATGTCCCACCATGCTCTTCTCCTCCGAGTAAGATAGGGAAGTCCCACCTACCAGGGAAAATCCGGTACTTATAGTTGCACACGTGAGTCTGAGAATTCTTCATTGCTAATTTCTATCTTAATAAACAACTTTAATCCCAACTCCCCTTACGCTGATTGCAAGCTACCAATCTATGATCTAGGCAACTCATTTAGGTGCCTCGACCCACGAGGGGAACACCATAGGAAGGCTATCTGGAGTCTGATCCGGCCAGTTCGCCTGAATTACCTTCATAAGTTCGTCGTAGACGATGCGGTTACCAGCGGGTGTCAAATGCAGACCTGTGAGATGAGTGAGTACGCGCAAAATGGGGAATATGCCAATATTCACGCACCATCAGTGAGGAGACTAGACAATGTCTCATTGTCTGGCGCATCACGACTGCCAATCAGAGGCTCTCCCTCCTTCCAGCCAGTAGTCTTCATGAAGGCAGACCATAAATCCACCACTGGGACATTGAGCGACGCGCCAACTTCGCACGCAGCCACTGCATATGACTTAGTGTTTCTGGCGGTTCTGCTGGGGAATGGGCAACCCTTTTCAGCGTCGAATCTCTCCATTTGATACTCATTAACAGGAGGGGGGCTGATCAAGATGAGTCGCGGGTTCTGTGCGCGTGTCGCTGGGTGTTGAATAATCGTCTTCAAGTTCTCCTTGTATTGATCCATAGGCACGTGCTGGTCATGAGCTGGAACGCATGCATCATTCGCTCCGAAAAAGATGGTCTATCGGATGTAAGTAAATTGGTCTTTTGGATACATTCGAGATTTCAAATGTGTCTGCCAATAACGGGGGCTTACCATGAACCGCACATTAGCGGTCTGTGGCATAGGGAAGAATTTCTCAAAGACCTTGACAGCATGGGCGGTTGTATATCCACTGTCGCTTGTTAGCATTGAATATAGTAAAGCCTTGGATTATCTTACGCTAGACCACGGTTGACAACATCCAATCTGCGACTGTAGGCTGATTCTTTCATTAGATTATTGGTCATGCAAATTTTTAACGGTATTAGAGGAATGACTTACATTCCTGGAGCGCAGCATGAAATGCGAAACCTAGCTCTTGATTACAGGCCATCTGTGTGATGGAGTCTCCGAAGAGAAGAAATTGGTCATACGGCTTGAATGCATCCTGGGTCTCGGTGGTAGCCATGGTGAAGTAAGGATGTGACTGTAAAAGGATCAAATCACTTTAGAATGAAGTTATGGGGGTCGGGGGCTTATAAGCAACGTGGACGAAAAAAGCAAGTGGGGGAACTCGCTCCGCGGACGAAAGGGAAATTGGTGGAGCTTCGCTTGTCGTCAACTATGGAAAGAATATATTAAGACAAGTTGATAACAGAGTAGAACATTGTCCAAATCTGCCCAATCTGGAAATAATTTATCCACTAATTGTTAGTTTCGCATTGGGGGCCAGATCTGAACCCCGCCTTGCACTAAGAAAATTAACTACCAGATATAGCATTGGCCATGGATTTTGTTCTAGGTAGCTACATGGCTATAACCATACTTGTAACAAACAGAATCACTACTTTGGACCCCTCGTGCACTTTAAAACTGATGTTTTGGCCTTTCTGGATGTACTAATGGGGAGTCCATCACCACCCCATCCAATTCAACTTTGCCGGTTATATTCAAAGGAATTAGAAATGCAAAGTTTCGTCGAAGTTCGATGGTATATCCTGGAAATATAACTAATCCAACCGAGAAAGAAGATCTCAACTCAGCATCTAGCATAGTTTTCGTCTAATTCACATCATTGTTAGACCAGATATCGCCATATAGATAATATGGTTCTCACTTTGAAAAATTCCACTCCTTTTCACAATCACATAGCAAGCGTCTATTGGGAAGAACTTGGCACAGTTTATAGATTTGGGCCTAAACAAGGGCTAGGTGATTTTAGACATTTCATTCTCCCACACCTGTGAGACGCTGGCTTCCAACGTCTCAGAGACAACCACCAGAGAGGGCACTGGAGAAAGATTTAGTCACGTAGTAATCTTGAGAGTTCAGGATAGGAAGGAGCACAGTTCGAAATGGACTTGGTGGTATATTTGAAACACCCAAATTTTCAGGGTTTGAGTATAGAAGAAGCGAAAGTTTCTCTAGGTTTAACATCAAGTCATGGATCAAAGGGAGAAGAGATTGTGGGAAGAGGAAGAAGCTGGAGTTATTATGCGTCGCCATACCTAATATATAAGTGGATAGAGTCCTATTGCACGTCTCTTGAACCATAAAATAACAATAAGATACCCTACCAATGTTCTGGTGATATATACTTCTCCGGAATGTTATGAGCATCTTAACATACTGGAACAGCTAGTCAACCAACTAGACTGAGGAGCAGGAGTGAGCAACATAGGGCTATGAAACCATCTAAAGGATGCTCACTACCCCACTATGGATCGGACTGTCAAGAACTAATATAGCGCCAAAACATTAGTAACTACAGTGACCTGACATGGACCCCACTCTATATCTATGAATCCTACAATCATAAGACCGTCGCTCAAAATTGCAGGATATAAGCTTGACCAGGCCTTGACCTCGAAAGTATTATCTCAGCCGTTGCAAGATCCTCAACATATAATGAAAATTATACTCTGTTAACTATATTAGGCTGGCGTTAAACTTGTTGCTAGTCTTACTAAATGATATACTTGTAGAACACGCCATTCGTTGAACCCCACATGTCCGAAAGAGCGGTAAAAGGGATGTTGAGAAGAAGGGTTCAAAAGATAATATCAGCTACCTATTAGGTATGGATCTCGGAGCATGTGATTGACTTCCTTTCTAAAGGATGTTCCAATGCCTACCAGCCTTGTACACATGAGGTTGGAAGCAGTCCGCGTGAAATCGGAATATACCGAGTGATACCTGCATGTCTTAAAATGTTGGACCAAATCGAAACTTTATATATACCCCAGAATAGCCTGAGCCTCAAGTCAGCCGCATGCTAAATCCGATATTTATATGTTGTATTTCAGCTATATCAGGCATCCAAAAGAAGCCATATTTACCCGGAGATGACGATTTCTTCAAGTCACACATCCGGTTCCTCGCATGGCGGCGTATACGGAGTATGGAGTACTTCAAGCATGCCAAGAGATCAGCGTCGGATGACGATCAGATTGGGCAGTGTCTGTCACAAGGATCCCTTCAGCCGGGGTGAAACCTCTAGATGTCGAGAATGTTAAACATCCTGAGCTAGGTTGATACCCCAAGGAACTGCTTTACAGGCACTCTTACCTTTATCGCCAAGCCCAGAGTGGCGCCATGAGCAAGGAGTAGACGGGGTATACTTGAACATGCCCCTACTCCGTCCGGAGTACAGTGAAGCAGATCGGCGGAACGTGGGGATGATCAGAGGAATGTCACACCAAGCATCAAATCACCATTCCAAAATGTTGAGCATTGAACTTCAAGTACATAAAATAAATTAAAGATAGTCAAAAATGACCCCCGTGGGTCAGCACTGAACTTCCGCCTGACGCGTCCCCGCCGTTGAGTCGATCGCCTCATCTTTAGACCTCGGACCCTCTTTTCTCACCGTTATCTCTTTGTTTTTTTTTGTTTTTTTGTTTTTGTCTTTCTAAATTATTTACCTCCGAGAAGAGAGAGATATGCTACTCAGTAAGTCAAGTTCCTTGATCTCTTTGATCGTGTGAGCTCTATTTCACCCCGTGTTTACGTCTGGTGTGGATCGGCTGCTGCATATCTCCAAAGTACATACTGCCAAAACTAACCCTTGCCAGCTCCACTGCATATAATTGTAGCATAAATCCATATATGCGACATGCCTCGGTCCCTTCCAAAATCCAGTGTTCCCCTGCGCGAGCAAGAGGACATCGAAACAACACGCACTGCCCAAACAGCTCCCCCCTCACCGAATGCCTATAGACGATCTCAAAGCTACCTCTCTGAAACACATACCGAATACCAGTCCCTCGATGCGCCCTTGGAGATAACGGAAACAACGAGCCTCCTCGGGCCCACTCAGCCCTTCCGCCGACGAGCTCCCCGACGGTCGTACACCAGCACTTCTGGGGTATCGGGGAGCGGCACGGACTCATTTAGACATGTTCTGGCGGCTGGCAGCCTGCGACGAACGCGAAATCATAGCCGTGCCAACTCTGCAGGCAGGCGATTTAGTCGACGAGCAAGTTTAGAGGGCGATAGCAGACCTGCCAGTCTACCCCCGTCTACAAAGGACAATCTTACGGCGTCTTCATTTTTGGATGAGCGGACGTGGTACGATCAATTCACTTCCACAGATTGGGTACATGATAGTATCGCCGATGGAGCACGGCTTCGCCTACTCCGCCAGCGAAAGGATGTCCGAGGCCGATTGCTAGCAGCTTTCGACGGTGCGCAAGGGTGGATCTTAGTTGCGCTCATTGGATGCATCACCGCTGCCATCGCTTATTTCGTCGATGTTACTGAAGGGTCGGTCTTTGATTTGAAAGAAGGCTTTTGCACGACACAGTTTTTCCGTAATCGGCGTACCTGCTGTCAAGGGCTGGGTATTTGTGATGGATGGCGGCCCTGGTCCAGCATCTTATCGCCATCAGGTACAGAAAGCGAGTGGATTGGCTTTGTCATGTTTGTCTTTTGGGTTGTGACGTTAGCCCTCATATCGTGTGCTTTGACTCTGCTCACAAAAACTGTCGTTCCTTCATCAATTTCTCTTGCCACGCTTGATGAAAACCTGGGCGCTGAGTCTCGTGGTACGAGATCTGGGAATGGACTTGGTACCTCCGCTTCTCCTACTTCGGAGCCAGGGATGAGCCCACCGCATGGAACTTTGCCTAATCTTCCGTCCCGTCCAGCTATGATATTCTACTCTGCTGCTGGCAGTGGGGTAGCGGAAGTCAAAGTCATTAATAGTGGATTTGTCCTCCACGGATATATGGGACTAAAAACACTGGTCGTGAAGACTATTGGCTTGATCTTTAGTGTCTCATCTGGTTTGAGCTTGGGAAAAGAAGGCCCGTACGTTCATATTGCCACCTGCGTGGGCAATATCTGTTGCCGTCTGTTCGCTAAATATAACCAAAACGATGGAAAGCGACGTGAGGTTTTGAGTGCCAGTGCCGCTAGTGGTGTTGCTGTTGCCTTTGGTGCTCCGATTGGAGGTGTCCTCTTCAGCTTGGAAGAAGTCAGCTATTATTTCCCACCCAAGACCCTTTTCCGGACGTTCTTTTGTTGCATTGCAGCTACGCTGTCTCTTAAGTTCCTAAACCCCTATGGAACAGGTAAGATCGTCCTATTTGAAGTTCGGTACCTTTCCGACTGGCAAATCTTCGAACTTTTCATTTTCATCCTTCTCGGTATTATGGGAGGCGCCGCTGGTGCGCTCTTTATCAAAGCCTCGAGTCTGTGGGCACGATCGTTCCGTCGTATTCCAGCAATCAAGCGTTGGCCAATGCTTGAAGTTTTCCTCGTTGCGTTGTTTACAGGCGTTGTCAGCTACTGGAATCGATACACCAAACTTTCCGTCACTGAACTTCTATTTGAGCTAGCTTCTCCTTGTGAAGCAGATGTGGAGAGTACGGGCTTATGTCCCCGCACAGACGGCATTCTTGAAATCGTCAAGTACCTTATGGTAGCATTTGTTATCAAGAGTTTCCTGACCATTATTACATTCGGTATCAAAGTGCCTGCGGGTATCTATGTGCCATCCATGGTTGTTGGCGGCTTGATGGGGCGGATTGTTGGACATTTGATCCAATACTGGGCTCTCAGACATCCCACGTTTTTCTTATTCGACTCTTGCCCCGCCGTTGCTGGGATTGAATCGTGCGTGACTCCAGGAGTTTACGCATTGATTGCCGCTGGAGCGACAATGTGTGGCGTGACACGGCTATCGGTCACTTTACCTGTGATCTTGTTTGAGTTGACGGGGAGTCTCAACCATGTGCTTCCGTTTTCCCTGTCAGTGCTCTGCGCCAAGTGGACTGCGGATGCTATTGAACCTCGCAGTATCTATGTATGTCCTATCACCCGCCTGTTAATCCAACCCCGACGTTATACTAATTGAAATTAGGACCTCTTGACCGATATGAACTCCTACCCCTTCCTTGACAGCAAACTCCAACCGACCACCGATGCCGAGCTGGGAGACATAGTTCGACCAGTGCGGAAGAATCGCATCATAGATATCTCTGCATCACCATTTGTCGCAGCGACAGCCCTCCGTTTGAAACTGGAACACCTGCTAATGGCAGGCGAGCTGGACAGCGGACTACCCATTCTACGTGACGGTGTCTTGGCAGGTCTGATCCCAGCGCCGGATCTCGAGTACGCACTGGATACGCTGGGCGACGAGGAAGAAAATACGATATGTCTGATGGCTATGGATGCTTCCACGGCCATCTATGACAGCGAAAATGAGGATGCGGACCAAGTCGATTTCAGTCGATACATTGACCCTGTAAGCTTAGTTAACCTCTCCAATATCTTGACCCGCACTAATCTCTTTTATCCATAGGCTCCAATCGCTCTTGATGTCCATTCCCCTATCGATTTAGTCTACCAGTGCTTCGCCAAGCTGGGTCTTCGTTACCTCTGCGTTACTCAGGACGGGAAATATGCCGGCCTGGTACATAAGAAAGCCTTTGTGAAATTCATGAAGGAGAATAGTGACTAGGTTGTGTATATTCGATCTTTCCACTGTTTCTATTCGCATTTTCGGGCGTTCCCGAGGCATTTTGATTCAATTATTTGCATAGCTTTACATATCTCATTCCATGTCTATCTATCCTGCGGGCTCACTGAACATTGTGCAACATTTGTACATATTTTTGGTTCTTCATCTCTGTTAATAGGTAGTGTCCACGGGCACTATTACTAGTAGTAATCAAACGCTATACATAGGAAAGTCGTCTGCACAAATTAAGCCTTTTCCCGCCTTTTATTTTGCCGTCGGCCTATACAATTGGCACATATAAACAGAATGATATCTGAGAATACCGCTGGAAAGACTACTGAGAAGACCACTGCAAATATATCATAGGGCCGCGTGCGTCCCATTATTCTTGTAGTAAATAATTCTCTCAAGGTTCGAGGTACCCGTGGACACTTGCGTTAAACACATTGCATCATCTTACGCGTCACTCTACTCATTTTCACCATGTCCTTATTACAGACGAAATGTCAGATCCCGCCCCCATACTTATATCTGGTCTGCCGCGAGGTTACCTGGTTTCGTCTTCTCTAAGCACACTGCGCCACGAGGCATACCGGATCATCGAGTGGTTTAAAGACCATACCAGCGGCAATCAGTGGATTGTGGTTCTTGACCTGTCACCAACACTAATTGAAACCCTTACAACCGACCGCAACGCGCTTAACGGTGTCACATATCGCTTTCAATGGGAGGGCCCAACTGGCCTCATCAAGGTTGTCCCCAGAGGAGAACATGAGATCGCGATATCACAGTTCACCACGGTAATCCACGATAAACTCAAAGCTATGGGCCTCCCCCGTAGAGAGGTGGTTTGGGTTGGTTCTAAAACATACCACTCTGGGACAAAAGGGATGGAAGCTGACAACTCATACTTGCCCCCATCTCGCCATGCACGACCCATTGAAAACGCAGGCTACCCATCACTTGTGATTGAAACAGGTGTCTCTGACTCGCTTGATCAGCTGCGTCAGGATGCGCGCAAATGGTTCGCGGACTCAGGGGGTGACGTCCGGATCGTCATCCTTATCCATATGAGGAAGGATATTGTGTGCTTCGAGCAGTGGCAGTTGGCACCGAGTACTGCACCCCGTCCGTTAACCAAGAGATACATCGATAGCATCTGCGCACAAACACCCAACATACCACTTACCGGACAACCGGCACAACTCCAGCAAGTCTACTGTGTCAGCCAAGTTGATGTCACCAGAGACTTTGTTGCCGGAACGAATGTTATAAATGGGGCTCCTATGGTCCTCCCTTTCATTGCAATCCAAGATCGCCCTCCAGGTCCAGGGGAGTGGGATATCGTGGTAGGGGAACAAGAATTTGATGAGATTGCAGATTTGTTGCTCTGATTTGAGGAGTGCCTCGAACAATGCCGGGGATATTGCTATCTTTGTTCTGCAATCCTGGTTCTTATAGACGATCTTTCTCTTTGCGAGTTTCCTAGGATTTACTCCCTCTTCGTCTACCTCTCAGTGTATTAGTACGGGAGTGTTCCGGTTTCGAATCTTTATAATTCCCCGATCTACACTTATCTTAGTGTTAGGTACAGGAGTCTTTTGTCTTCTAGTATATAAGAATAGTCGGCCGCATAAGCGGCCTTGTGATGTCTTTTCAGTAGTCTTTTCAACAGATTTTCTAGTGATCTTCTCAGATATCATTCTGTCTAGATGTGCCAGTCTTATAGGTCGACAGCAAAAAAAGCGGAGAAAGGCTTAGGTTGTGCAAACAACTTTTCTAAGCATAACATTGGAAATAGGTATAGTAGAGGGTAGATACTAGCTTTGATATTTGGACACGTACAAAGTCGAATCTTTGAACATATTTGACTAGTCAATTATCCAGGACAATATCCTACGAATATCTAAGTCAATTTCTCAAATCCAACCATCTGAACCTCAACATCTCCATCCCCCTTCCACTCCCCATCAACTTCCTCCCCAACCCACTCAGAAACCTCTTCAGAGCTAACAGCCCGCCACCCATTCCCCTCATGAAGCCCATCCAACGGGAAGAACGTATCACACTCAAACGAAGCAGGCGCATCAACAGCCCCCTTCCGCACAACATTCGTCATAACAACCCTAACAGCCCGACCCCCGAGCTCCTCAGCACCCATCTTCAACGTAGCATTATAAATCTCCGCCCCACCAATAACAAAAACTTTCCCAAGCGTCGTCCCATAAACAGAGTCCAACTGCTCCAACGCCGCGCCCAAACTCGGCGTAACAATCGCGTCCGTCATCGGGCCCGGAACAGTCTCCTGGGGCGGGTTAAATGTCTCTTTCTCTGCACTCGTAGTCTGAGCCTGAACTTGAGCCTCGGCGGCTTTGGCCGCGATCTTTTTCTTCATTTTCGCTAATTCGGCATTTACGCTCTCGCGGACAGAGCCGGTTGTGTCGCGTGTGATCACGACGTTAATTCGTTTTGCCAGAGGACGTAGAGAAGCCGGCACGGAGTCGTAGGTCTTTCGGCCCATGATTATCGCGTTGGTCTTGCCTGGGCTTGGGGGGCGGGATGTCACACGCGCGAAGAATGACATATCTGTTTTTATGCGTGGCCATGGGAGTGTGCCGTTTAGGCCGATGCCTAGGCGTGTGATTTCGTCTTTTGTGGTTGGCGACGCGGTGCGGATTGGAGTTGTTGCCACGATTAGGGTGAGAGAGGGGAGAGAGTGGGGGTTAAGAGGTGGCATTTCGGTTTGTAGGTAAGAACGTTGTATTCAGAGATTCAGAGGCAGTGCGAGGTAGAAGTTGTGAGGGTGTTGAATGGTGGAGTAGGTAGAGGTTCGCGTCGCGAGTGGACTCGTTATCGGCTGCTTATCGCCCCGCACTATAGGTACAGCTATAGGTCCACGGGTGGGCTTGACATGGTCGTTCACTTTGGGAGGGTGTTATGTTATGGTCAATTCGATTTCGATATGAAGGGTACTACGTTATTGCTCTAGTTTAAGTCAACGAGCAAAGAAACAAAGTAATGGTAAAGCAATGGGGTTGGATTCAACATTGCATAAACTGAATGCGCCATAACACCGGTCGAACGCCAGAAACAAGTGGGTATCACATGCGAAACAGCTTTAAGGGCCAAGCAAAATGCTTCAAAGGAGGGCCTTAGGAAATCATTGTTCCTTTTCGGTCTTCTCGGGCTTCTCGGCCTGCCCAAAGTCCTTTGACTTGGGCTTCTCAGACTGTTCAGGGCCCCCGGACTTCTCAGGCTCACCCGATGAAGGCATCAATAATCCTCCATCAAGGGCCTCCTGGATGGCCTTCACATCCTCCTCGAGCTTCTCACGCCGCTGGACATCACGTTCGTCTTCACCGAGGGTATCGAGCTTGCCGAAGAGCCAAAGCTCCTTCATGAGGCGAGACAAGGCAAGTAGGTCCTCCGCAGCACGGATCTAAGGTAACAGAATGTCAGTCTCACGCGTTAGGGTAGATTTGGATGCTCAATTGCATTCTTCTTGGGAAGGGGAAAGCTGCGCAAGACTGGGGCGGTGCATATCAACATACCAGCGCAGTAGACTCTACATCAATTTGGAATGCTTCGACAGCAGCATCAACGTGACTGGTTCCATCGAACTTGTTGGCAGCAATAGCGACAATGTTCTCGAACCGCTGCAGCAGCTGCGAGATATCATAGTCAAGGCGATCTACCAGGATACATTAGCGGACAGAAATTGGACCTAGGATGTAGCTGCAGTAGCTCAAAGCTAGTACGTACCAAGCAACTCCTTGGCAGTTGGACGTGAATCCATGGTTGAAACGTTGGTAATGTCTTCAGACGATGGTGAGGATAAATCCGAAGTGGGATAATCCGAATCCATGTTGATTAACGATAACGATAAGAAATGTGTGGATACGGGTAGATGCGGAATGAAGCCGACATTACCCGAAGTTTTACTTGGGCGGTTTGTCTTGGGCGTTCCCCTACCCCCCATAAGACCCCGGGGGGAAGCCCGTTTCTAGGCTTCTCTCTAACAATACCAAGCACACAGCCAGGGACCCGGTCATTAACCTCGACTACCATCAATCTCACTATGTACGCATTTATTTATCTACTTTTTCTCACTTTTATTTCGCTAGATACACATCAATAAGACAAATTTAGCTTAAGAATAGTACATATATGAAATATTTATATTTGGCCATATTCAGCTTTTGTATTCGAGGCTCTCTGGTTTCAGTTTTGAACGATATAGCACAATGGAACAATATGATCTATCCGACTCGAAATTATATGTAAGACATTGCACGCTAGATAAGACTCCGATGTATGTATTTTTAAGATGTTCTTTCTATAATAGGAATAAAAGCACAGAGTAAACATACCGAGATCATCAGTCTACGACAATAAAGTAGAGAATCATGCAAACTATATAGACGAGTTCTCTATGCATGACTAGGGATGCAACTAGTACTCAGCTTCCCTCACCACCTCTAGTAAAAGAGACGTTGTCGGTCAAGCGTAGCCCTACCAGCAATAACTTCCTCCAGCCAGAATTGCACGGCAATCGCAGCCTTAGCCATGGTGATACGGACCTCTTGCTCCTTACTTTCGCAGTCCATCGGAACTTCTACCGGGAACGAAATACACTCTTTCCTCATCCAATGCTGTGGCTCTCGAAAGATCATAGCACGGATGTTATGGATCTCGCGAAGCGCAAACTCTAACAGCATTTGATCAGTATTGGTAGACGCCATGGTCAAGGGGATTTCCACAGTCACCCAGTATAAGTTTCTGGCTTTACTATCTTGTGCAAACTGGTTTGTGAGGACTATACGAAAGAGAGATTGCGTTTGTGGGATGTTTGGTCGCATACTGTCGGGTGGTCTGTCCGTATGAGCTTTAAAAAATGTTTGTATATAGTCCAAAGAGGGATCGTGTTTAGATTCAAGGACTTTGCGAGGCCACTGAAGCGTATTTATATGGAGGAAATTAAAATTCCGAGGCCTTTTGGATACAACAATAGTCTTTATGACCCAATTCTAAAGTCTTTATCAAGTAACAAGAAGGTTGATCATAAGAATAACCATAAACAAAGATGTTAGCTCAAAGGTTGCCACCACCACAAAAAGACACTCTTGGGGAACCAAACTGCCCTCGAAATCCTATTACGTTCTTTCAATGAAACGACGAAAATAACATAAGATAATACATATCCATTAGTTAAGCTAAAATATGCCTTGAAGTGACATCTAGATACCCAACTATCACAGGAGACTCTACCGCACATATTTTCCCTGAAAGCCCGGTCAGCGGATGTATAAAAATGACAGCGGATATAGGTACATACCATGAAGCGCTTGTGGAAATCAGAACGAAGAAGATCCTGAAAACGAATTAGTTTAGTGTCACAAGAATAAGCCAAAGGAAAGTAAGCATACGTTGACAAATTCCTTGCCGTCTCTGTTCTCTGTTCCTCGAGCCTGGTTCTTGAATACAACGTCGTCATCCCAGCGCCGTTTCATGCTGAAATCCTGGGAATTGAGCAGAGGATTACCGCGCGCGATATCAACCTCTCTTTTCTCTTCTTCCTCGGCTGCCCGTTCACGCTCCTGTTTATGCATTAGCCACCAGTATTTAATTCAGGATGTGAGAAAGCAAGATACCTCTTTCTCCTTTTGTTCCAATCGCTCTTTTTTGATCTTTTCAAGCTCCCGCATTAACTCAGCTGCTTCGTCTTCGTCGTCGCTACAGGTTGTCAGTTTATTCGTGCTAGGTAGAAGATTCCGGGTTCAACCCACCTATCTTCATCACTGCTGTCTTCTTCTGACGCGTCTGAATCGGCATCTATGTCGCGCGTCTCCTCCAGTATGCGTCGGCGTTTGGCCTCTGGGTCTTCTTCCTGGATATCGCCATCACCTCCGTCTTGGGGCGCAGCTTCAATTTGTCTCTTGGGGGCTAAGGATTCAACAATAGCTGGTTGCTCGGCCGGAACTCCATTCTTCTTGGCGAAGTGTGCTGCCTCAGCCTGGAGAAGCTCTGCGCGAAGGTCACGGGGCGATGGTTCAGCGTCGGCAGCGCCGCCTTGTCCGGGTTGGCTAGAATAACGTCAGTGATCGGTATTGACTGCCCAAGTATCGTTATACATACCGAACTTTCAGGTGTTTATGCGCAGGGAGGAGTCGCTGGTGGTATGCTGGACCACGGAGGGCTTCTTTGCCTTGCGCCTGTCGAAATCAAGTCAGTGTCTATGAAAAGTCGTGTCGAGAAAGATTGTCGTACCGGGTCAAAAGTAGGTCTGTGAGCTAAATAAATGTCAGTTACAAGTATTCAAATTCCCACATTTTGTTTCTATTGGCATACCTGTAGTCATTTTGTGATGTGGTTGCTAAGTGAAAGTTGAAAGTCCTAGGACGTTGCGGCTTCCAGCTTTCGATATCTGTCGTCGCCTCAGGCACTACCTAGTATTCTCCTCACGTTATCTTCACCGCCTGACGTATCATCCACTGTCATTGGCGCAAACTTCGGAATAGTGATAATCCGAACCGCTACAATGCGGTCTGCACGGGCAAAATGGCCCAAAAAAGAAAGCATCTCTGATCCCCGCGCTGGGGCTTTTAGATCTTCCTCAACGATGTCGAAAGAAGCGCAACTCTCAATCGCAGAGCGCGACTTTATTCTTGAGGCTCTCCGTGAGGATGTGCGTCTCGATGGTCGCAAGCCTGACGACTATCGTCCACTAAATATCTCCTTTGGTGAAGAATATGGACATGTGAAGCTGCAGCTTGGAAAGACACAGTGAGCCTCAGATCTTTTGTACTACCACAGATGACAGTCACTGACTCATTCTCTAGCATTATTGTTCGGATCTCCGCTGAGGTCACCAAACCGCGTGAAGACCGGCCCTTCGATGGCCTCTTCAACATCAACCTAGAGCTGAGCGCAATGGGTTCACCAGCCTGGGAAAACGGACGGTATATACCACCCGACATATTCACTATCCACTGATCTATGCTTACAATTACGTCTTACAGATCTAACGACATTGAGGCATACGCTACCAACACCCTTGACCGTATCATCCGCCATTCCAACGCCCTCGATACTGAATCTCTGTGCATTCTAAAGGGTGTGAGCTGCTGGTCAATCCGGGCCGACGTTCACATTATCGACTACGATGGAAACATCACTGATGCGGCCTGCATTGCGATCATGGCTGGACTGCAACACTTCCGCCGGCCGGATGCTGTGGTGAGAGACGGACGTGTCATAGTCTACGGTGTGGAACAGCGTGTGCCTGTCGCACTTAATATTACACACAAGCCTCTCTCAGTAACATTCCACACCTTCAATGACAGCAAGCATGTCATTGTTGATGCCACCCTCAAGGAGGAGCAGGCTGCCGAGGGTGATCTTGTCATTGGCATTAACAGCGCCGGCGATGTCTGTTACCTCTCGAAGTACGCAGGTGCACCAGCAGATGCCATGGCAGTTGTGAACAAAACAAATGTGGCATGGGAAAAAGTCAAAGAGATCAATGCTACTGTTGAGAAGGTCCTCCAGGCCGACTTGGCTAAGCGGGCGAAGATTGGCATGGCCGATGAGTCTCGGGCAGAAAATGACCGGTTGGTTCAAGTCGAATAAACAGCATGTACTACCATTACTTTGACGATCGGGGGACTGGAGTTTTGCATGGCGTTTACATCAATGATACTTGGCTGCCACATGATGGGCGACATATGGGCGCTAGTAGATGAATGAACTTAACCATTTTTCCTATGTTCTCAATGTACTCCGTACACTGGGCACCTCAATTTTATGAGGAATCGTTTAAGTACCTTATGTTAACCCTTTTTTCTTTCTCAAGCAATATTTTTTTGTGTTTAAGTGGAACCGTTCCTATATCGCATAGTACTCCATACAAACAAAGCGTTTAATATATTTCCGGATGCCAAGAGCCCCCTATTCTTAGCTCACTTCGCCGTAGAGCCCGGGGCAGCCAATGAATATAAGTGCATTTTGACCATAGTATAGAAAAAAAAAAGTACAGAAATAAAGTGTTCATTAAACTACACAGTTATTATAATAAAATCAAAGTATCTTTGCAAATATTCGAGCTCTTTGGCTGTTGTGAAGCGCTTTACCGCCTACCCGTGCATCAAATCAACATAGCTTAATTGCTGCCTTCGCCCGCTAAGCCACCCTTGGACCTCATTCTCACTCGACTCCCACATTTTTCCAGCCCAAGCCTCCTCAAATCTTTCATTGTTCGCCATACCTCGTTTCGTTATCCCTGCTTCCGACAGATATAGCAGAGCGCTTTCTGTCGACCTGGCCTTGCGATCAATGCCTCAGGGGCATTGCTACTGCGCTACAACAGTGAGGCTGTCAGCTTCCCCGCGGCATCATGGCCAGCGGTAGGCCTCCTGGGTCGCATCCAGCCGCTGGCCGCGATGACGACCTGCTGCTGGATTCCGAACCTATCTACAACAGTGGTCAACGCCCTCCCGTGAACGATGAACATCTATTAGAACGCTACGACATTGACGACTCCGAACAACCGTACACCCAAACACAACCACGCCCTTCCGTCTCCTACGATAACTTTGTCGGATCTCGCGCGCCGCCTGGCGCAACGCAGCACAATGTTGCTTCTGGACCGGCGCATCCGCCTGTCAACCCCAGTCTCCAACCAAATGACCCCTACTCCAGTGGCACGCGAGATCGAGCCTACTCTCAGTCCTCTGGCCTGGACAATTACCGGCGGTATTCTTTAGACGACTTCGACGACGGGCATTCAGGTTATTATGATCTCGACGCGGACGAAGACCGAATCGCCAGTTCACACCACGTCCGCAAGGCAAATGAGCGCAATAGTGTTCTCGGACTTGGTGGTGGATTTATGGGCAAAGCGAAATACATGTTCGGCATGGGGTCATCGCAATATTCAGAAATGGATCTTCCATTGACTGAGTCAGGCGCTAGAAGAGCGACAGTCGATAGCAGTGCTTCTCCGGCGCCACGTCCGAAGGAACGCAAGAAGTTCCGTGTCTCTGACCTTAATATCTTTGCACGCAAGGTTGACCCATCGACACTGGGTCCGCGCATGATTCAACTCAACAACCCGCCCGCAAATTCCACCCACAAGTTCGTCAGCAACTTCGTATCAACGGCCAAGTACAACATCTTCACCTTTGTTCCCAAATTCCTGTTCGAGCAATTCTCTAAATACGCCAACCTGTTCTTCTTGTTTACCGCCATCTTGCAACAAATTCCGAATGTGTCGCCCACGAATAAGTTCACAACTATCGTTCCGCTAGCTATCGTTTTAGCCGTGTCGGCAATCAAAGAATTGGTAGAGGATTACAAACGGAGAATGTCGGACAGAGGACTGAATTACTCCAAAACCCAAGTCCTTAAGGGATCTTCATTCCACGAGACAAAATGGGTAGATGTTGTGGTCGGGGATGTAGTTCGGGTTGAGTCCGAGCAGCCTTTTCCGGCCGACTTGGTACTACTGGCGTCATCTGAGCCTGAGGGTTTATGCTACATCGAGACCGCAAACTTGGACGGAGAGACCAATCTCAAAATCAAGCAAGCCATTCCGGAGACTGCGCATCTGGTCAGCCCTAGTGATCTGAGCCGTCTGAGTGGACGCGTTCGGTCAGAACAGCCAAATAGCAGTCTGTATACTTACGAAGCCACCTTGACTATGAATGCTGGAGGCGGCGAAAAAGAGTTGCCCTTGGCTCCGGATCAACTTCTACTTCGTGGCGCAACGCTGCGCAACACTCCCTGGATTCATGGCATTGTGGTGTTTAGTGGCCACGAGACAAAACTCATGCGAAATGCGACAGCAACCCCGATCAAGCGAACAGCCGTGGAACGAACAGTTAACATACAGATTCTAATGCTTGTCAGCATTCTTGTTGTTCTGAGTGTCATCAGTTCTGTCGGTGATCTCGCTATTCGGAAAACCAAATCTTCACAACTTGCATACCTCGACTATGGGGGTTCGGTCAAAATGGTAAAGCAGTTCTTTTACGACATTTTCACGTACTGGGTGCTCTATTCAAATCTGGTTCCGATCTCCCTCTTCGTCACCATTGAAATCGTCAAGTACTTCCAGGCCTTCCTCATCAACTCCGATCTGGACATATACTACGATAAAACCGACACCCCGGCCATCTGCCGCACATCCTCCCTTGTGGAGGAGCTTGGTCAAATTGAGTACATCTTCTCGGACAAAACAGGCACCCTTACCTGCAACATGATGGAGTTCAAGCAAGTTAGCATTGCCGGCATCCAATATGGCGATGATGTTCCTGAAGATCGACGTGCCACCGTGGAGGATGGTGCTGAATATGGTATTCATGACTTCAAAAAACTCAAAGAGAACCTTCAGTCGCACCCAAGCCAGAACGCTATTCGCGAATTTCTTACTCTTCTCGCCACCTGTCACACTGTTATTCCTGAGCGAAACAGCGATGACCCAAATGTGATCAAGTATCAAGCAGCATCGCCAGACGAGGGAGCCTTGGTAGATGGAGCCGCCTCGTTGGGTTTCCGATTCACCAACCGAAGACCGAGATCGGTGATCTTTGAGGTTGGCGGCCAGGAGCTTGAGTACGAACTGCTAGCAGTATGCGAGTTCAACTCTACTAGAAAACGAATGTCCACTATCTTCCGATGTCCTGATGGGAAGGTCCGCGTCTACTGTAAGGGTGCTGACACAGTCATTCTTGAACGGTTGCACCCCGATAATCCTACCGTGGAAGCAACTCTCCAGCACCTGGAGGAGTACGCCTCGGATGGTCTACGGACGTTGTGTCTGGCTATGCGTGAAGTCCCAGAAAATGAGTTCCAGCAATGGTACCAGATCTATGACAAGGCTTCTACTACTGTCGACGGCAGTCGTGCGGATGAACTAGACAAAGCGGCCGAGCTGATCGAAAGGGATTTCTATCTTCTGGGTGCCACGGCTATTGAGGATCGCTTGCAGGATGGTGTTCCGGATACTATCCACACTCTCCAGACTGCAGGCATCAAAATTTGGGTTTTGACAGGTGACCGACAGGAGACTGCAATCAACATCGGCATGTCCTGCAAACTCATCTCGGAAGACATGACGCTTCTCATCATCAACGAGGAGTCGGCAGATGCTACCCGTGACAGCTTGCAAAAGAAAATGGACGCCGTTCAGAGCCAACTTGCCTCTGGGGACACCGAACCTTTGGCTCTGATCATTGATGGACGGTCGTTGACTTTTGCTTTGGAGAAAGATATGGAGAAACTGTTCTTGGATTTGGCTGTCATTTGCAAAGCCGTTGTTTGCTGGTAAGTGCCATTGGCTTTTGGTGATTTTATTTTGGTTCTAACATGTTCTTTAGTCGTGTCTCTCCTCTTCAAAAGGCTTTGGTTGTCAAGCTCGTCAAGCGCCACAAGAAGGCTCTCCTCTTGGCTATCGGTGACGGTGCCAACGATGTGTCCATGATCCAAGCCGCTCATGTCGGAGTCGGCATCAGCGGTGTCGAAGGTCTCCAAGCCGCACGATCTGCTGATGTGGCAATTGGCCAGTTCAGATTCCTTCGGAAGTTGCTTTTGGTTCACGGAGCGTGGAGCTATTCTCGCATCAGTCGAGTCATTCTATACTCATACTATAAGAATATTACCCTGTACATGACTCAATTCTGGGTAAGTTTGACCTTGATGGATTATTTGGAGTGGTATCTGACTTGTCATAGTATTCTTTCCAAAACGCATTCTCTGGACAAGTTATCTACGAATCTTGGACGCTTTCCTTCTACAACGTGCTCTTCACTGTCCTACCTCCATTCGCGATGGGAATCTTTGACCAGTTCATCTCCGCCCGATTGCTGGACCGCTACCCACAGTTGTACCAGCTGGGCCAGAAAGGTGTCTTCTTCCAGAGGCACAGCTTTTGGGCCTGGATTCTGAATGGATTCTTCCACTCTCTGATACTGTACATTGTGTCTGAGTTGCTCTACTTCTGGGACCTTCCCATGGCAGACGGCGAGGTCGCCGGCCACTGGGTCTGGGGTGAATCTCTGTACACTGCTGTGCTAGCCACCGTCCTCGGTAAAGCTGCTCTGATCACCAATATCTGGACCAAGTACACATTCATTGCCATCCCAGGATCAATGGCCCTGTGGCTCATCTTCCTCCCGGCTTACGGCTACGCCGCCCCGGCTTTGGGATTCTCAAATGAATACTACGGCACTATCCCCGTGCTCTTCAAATCCCCCATCTTCTACCTGATGGCCATCGTCCTACCTTGTATATGCCTCCTACGTGATTATGCCTGGAAGTACGCCAAGCGCATGTACTACCCACAACAATACCACCACGTCCAGGAAATCCAGAAATACAATGTCCAGGACTACCGTCCACGCATGGAACAGTTTCAAAAGGCCATCCGGAAGGTCCGCCAGGTCCAGCGCATGCGCAAGCAACGTGGCTACGCCTTCTCCCAGGCCGACGATGGCGGTCAGATGCGTGTTCTCAATGCTTACGATACTACCCAGAGTCGTGGGCGGTATGGTGAGATGGCTAGCTCTAGACCTATGGCGTGATGATTGATTCGCTGTGGGTTGATTATGCATCATGCATTTGCAGTGGCGGTTTGTTGTGCTCTTTTTCGCTCTTATGCATTCATGCCAGAGGCTGGTATATTTGTATCTTTGTGTACCTTATGCTCTTTTTCTTTTCTCTAGGTCGTCCTTATAGCCATGCAATTGGTCTGGAGGCTGTGACATATTACCTTTTTCCTGTTTACTTGATATCGCTTTAGCTGAGTCTTGCGAAACTTGAACATGACATGATTCAGTAACATTCTGGTTCTTTATTTGATAAACATAATTAACGTATGCGTAGACGTGGCTGCTGGTCTAGTACTTCTACATCTACTAGTAGAAGATCTCCGACTACTATAGCGTTTTTCTTGTTCTCTTTTATAAACATTTCCATGTAGTATATGACATGATAGCTGGTATGTACACTTTACATCCGATGTCCTTTTGGGCAGAGCATACATCCAGACTATATTATCTCTTCCCCGGCTGATCAGGGTTCTATCTCGAGCACCGTTCTTCTGGTGGTCTCCAGCCTATGCCCATTCCCTCCATCACAAGTTTCTCCCTCTCCTCCCAGGTCTCTCCGCCATGTTCTAGGTCAACCTGGCGTCCAGTATTTCGATCTCTCACCCCACTCGAATCAAATTTCAACGCGCGAGCTTTCTTCGCATGCCGCCGTAAATCCCGCTGAAAAGTCGTATCACCAGACCAACCGAGTATCGCACACCCGACCGTACGCCAAGGCGATATAATGATATCAACACGACGATGGATATTAGGATTCTTCCTTCCATTATCCCCCGCATCAAAATGCGGATCCTGCCAAACAACCAATGCTTTATCCAAAGTATCGAATTTCCTCGTATCATCACCATGAAAAGGCAACGTCTGTTGCTCCCGCAGCGAAGAAGTCAAATGCAAAGAGAGCGTATGAGTGATATACCGCTCAGCCTCAAGACTCGCAACAACATCAACAACCAGATTCCGAGTCACCGCGTCATCACGATGACTCAATACAATATCAACATCACCGCTCAATTCCTTCCCGCGTCGGTATCCGCCTACAATCACACACTCAATGCCATCTCCATCTTTCCGGACTCGACGAGCATGCTCCCGAATGACATTCGCTATACCCTCGCTCTCACCGCGCGGAACGCCCTCCTGAAACTCTTCGTAGAATTTCACTCCTATCTGCTGAACGCGAGATAGTGTATTCCACCCATGCTCCACAATATCGTCGAGATCACGCCAGCCATGCTGGTAGAACTCGTGTGCTGTCTTAGCGCCAACGCCCCATATCCCATAGAACGTGTTCAGAACGCGGAGGATGGGATCCGTCTCCAGCGCGTCGGCAGCGGCGACATTCCCGTCGTCATCGGTATGACTACACCCGCCGTGTCGCTGGAACTCCACGAATAAATCTGCGATCTTGGCGTTGCACCCTGGTAAAGCGAGGATCTCACTCGGGGTCTGGATGGGATATGGGTAGGCTGCTAATGCTGCGATGGATGTGCTGTACGCACGCACGCCGATCTCGTCGAGGGTGAGTTCGCGGATTCGTCTGATTTTCACGAGTTGAGAGATAAAGTCTTCGTTTGGAGGGTGTAAGGGTGCTGAGCGTAGACATGCGAATATGACATGGTCACGGACCCAGTCTGGTTGTGGGGGTGCGTTGGCTTCTTCTTTTTCGTGTTCGGAGGTCGTCTGTCGATATAGTTTTGGTCGGGGGCGCTGGGATGATCCATCAGGGGGTTCTTTTGAGCGGTGTGCGTGGATGTGGTCTGGAGGGGGAGTTCGTGGTGCTGGTAAGCCCGCATCTTGTTTTGCACGCTCGATGATCTGATTTGATTTTTGTGCCAGTAGGTCGTGCTTGCTTTCTGTTTTTGTCGTGGGAGGAGGGGGGATCTTTCGCCCACGATATACAACGAATGGGGCTTGGGATACACAATTGCCGGATTTGATAGAGGTATCCATCCACTCGAGCTTGAGGACTGTGACTGAGTTTTTAATTTCCTCTACCTTTTGCTCTGGAATTTGATTCTTCGAAGGGTCATGTCGATTGGCAGTTCCATCCTCGCTCTCAGATTCAGTACTAAGGTCGATAATCTCAACCGGAACGTCTTTTGTCCCATCATACTGATGTGTGCGTCTACGCTTAGGAGGGGGCTCCGCATCACTGCCCATTGACTTCGAAGCTGAGTTAGGTATGAGCTCCTCTGTCCAGGTACCGCGGGTGCGCAATTCCAGCGCTGCACGCTTCGCGCGCCCGACTTTCCCCAGCACGAGACCGGCCTCGGCGATGTCATAGGTCAGCCTTCCACCGTAATCTATCAATCGGCCTTCAATCTCGTCCAGCTCCTCCAGGGAGAGATGTGTTGGCAAAATGAAGATGGGTGGTTGGGATGAGAAAATGGAGACATGTTCTGTCTTGTCTTTCGAAGAAGAGCTTATATCTGCAATCATGATCGTTGGCAACTTCAGAAAAATGAGTCTTTGCTCTATAATATGCAATCATCATATATGCGAGGAAGAGTCTTTAAGGAGCGTGCTCATTATTTTGCTGCCGTTGGTGCTTTGAGACAAACATTGCTCGTAAGGTAAATAAATGAGAAAAATGTCTCGAATATTCAATCTTGTAGAGCCACGTCTCATCTTTGAATTTGGCTGAAGTTGTGATGGCACATGAATTTGAGATCACGAGGAAGGTTTAGGGGACTGACGTCACTAGCTTGGCGAGGCATGAAGTATATAAAAGTTAAAAATGTCATCTTAGTACGCATACAGTACCCAAGAAGGAAAGAAAATATCTAAAAAAAAGAACTCTGAGAAGACATCTAAAAAGATAAGTGAAAAGACAATCAAAAGATTATAAGAAACAGAAATGCCAGAGTTCTCAATATATATCTCCCAGTAGACTTTACACTGACTCTTCATTCATCCACTCTGCTTCCGTATACTCTTTCCGAAGTGTAGGCAAGGCCAGACAGTTCCTTCTAAGATGAAACTTGCTATACAATTCAGAGCATTTCCTCTTCAGAAAATGCCCCGGTACAGCACAGAAGCGTCGCTCTTTCGCGACGAGGACACCAGCACAACTCTCTGAAGAGAAAATCAACGCCTTCCAGACCCTCAAGGATGTCATCGCTTCTGGAAGCGTCTGTACGTACCTCGATCGAACAAAACACACGTACTATGACCTGGATGCATTCCTAGATGGCTTTGCGGCCTCGTTCGTCGTCCCGTTCGCCGTCGCCGTCGCACTTTTCGATTTTCTGGGCTTTTGTCGGTTTATTTTGAGGGTTGAAGCTATATTGGGCAGCGACTGAGAGACAATATCAGTCTTACCGCTAGCAGCCAAGCTCCCATGGCCAAGCATTTGGCAATCAACCGCAGAAAGTGGACAAGGGGAAAGGACATGGTCCGAGAGACTTCCCCCTCAAAGAGTGGGAATGTGATGGTAATTTGATCCGGACTCTCAAGTGAACCAATAATGATTCTGAACAGTTCAGCGACATTATGCCAATCGATAGTCGTGTCACCTCACGAGGAGGGACCCCGATGAGTGTCTGCATTGACCTAGAAACTGACGAATACATGATCTGGGAGCCCGTATATGCGCCAACTCTCGCATCTAGGAAGCTAGAACTTGAAAGATTGAACTATCGCTTCATGGATTGGGAACTTGCGCCCATTCGCGGCGACGGGGCTGTAGGTGTCCAACTGTCGGCCTATTTCAGATGGTACACGACCACTGCCGAACGGATCAACAGGGTCCAGCAAATCTGGATCAGGACTCTAGCGGAGAGGATGTGGCCATTTGAAACGCCCCAGGTCTTCTCCCGAGAACAACTTCAAAATCGGGGAGTCTACAAGACGCCATGCGAGAGTTCAAAAGAGCACACAGCCGACGCTAGAAGACAGCTGCTGAGAAATCCTGAGGCGCAACGAATTCTCCGTGCCGGACAAGAATTGGCAGCGCATCAGAGCGAATACGACACAAATATGGCTCTGATCAGAGAACGTATTGCGGTAAGAGAGAACTGGGTGAAATTCAGCCTTCGAAGGGCTCTGGGCTTGACCAGACTAAAGGATCCTGAGGGATCTCTCGTTCAGCCTGCCACAGAGAATCAATCTGCCGATGCATAATCCGTCGACGTGTGGTCCGCCTATGAACTCTACGATCCGGAGTAGAAAACTACGGAATCCAACACGGGTGATGAGGGCAGGGAAGCGGAGGACAGTGGCGACGAGGGCAGCCACAACAGTGGCGAGGATGACGATGGTGAGAAGGACAGCGGCGACAATTAATTATTCATCTATTCTTCCGGTTCGCCTCGATGAGAACGTCGAGAGTTTAAACCCGAGGGAATTATTACAGTGGATAGTCACCACCCGTCCTACCTTAGTCGCAATAATTTAGTCTTAGGAAATTGTATCCTTTTTCCATCTCCCATACATAACAAAGCTTTGGCTTCAGCTTTCTAGGAGGCTAACCGCGAAGTTGCAACCCTAGTTACAACATGGAAAACAACGGAGATAGGCTGCTTCGACCCAGATAACAAGGCTGCTTCAACGATCGAATCTATCAACGTCAACCACTACACAAACGTTTATACATGGGTCGATCATATGCGCGGCATTATGAAACTCATATTGCATCAGAATATCGGTCAGTGTGTTCGTAGTGTCGGTATCCCCATAAATTGTCAACCCATTCTCGAGTGTGACTTCCTTCGGGTTTTGGGGTCTGAGCGTGAATTTTTCGTGGGATATGGTGGTCGTTGCTGCGGTTAGCGGTGCTGCAGTGGCGTCTACCATGTAGGTAGTGGTGTAGTCTGACTACATCACAGCGCCGATGCGTGTACGGCGTGGAATATCTTGTATAAGAGAAGGTAGAAAAGCAGACGGAGAGATGTTCATGTCTGTCGTGCTATCGGATTGCATCAAAGTATCCATGATAAATAGTATTATGATAACTGGTATGTTGAAAAGTCGTTTGCACAGTTTATGCTCTTTCTCACCCCGAAAAGGGTGACGTCTAGAAGAATTGTCTAGAAGGTCGACTGAAAAAGAAGTCCCAAGGCCGCATAAGCCGGCTATTACTGTACCATGATGAAACAAAGGGCTACTGCAGCAGTTGAAATTAGCCCGAACTAAGTAGGCCACTGATCAAATACTTGGAAGACTAAGTTCTTATGACGATAAAATTGAAAGACCATGAAAATTCCTTGATTTGCTTTATAACTATGGAGTGTCCTGCTCCGACAAAAATGGCATAAAGATATGCGATATGCAACGATTTCTTTTTGTTTTTCCTTTCTTTTTGATAAGCACACCCCTGCAAGTTTGAAACCATAACAAAGGAATAGTTGAATGATTGAGGTGGGCAATTGAAGTGGCCGGTTGGTTGCATTGAATGATTGAAGTAGTTGTTGGAAGTGAATTGGGTGAAGTGGGTAATTGACCAGTCTGCCGATTGTCCTGAAGCCGTAGCCCGCCACGGTCAGACTGGGAGTTGTTGGTCGTTCGAGGAGGTCGTTCGAGGAAGTCGGTCGAGGAGATTGCTCAACCAGTCTGCCGATTGTCCTGAGGCCGTAGCCCGCCACGGTCAGACTGGGAGTTGTTGGTTGGATCGGATTGGGTGGTTGTTCGAGGAGGTTATTCGAGGAAGTGGTTCGAGGAAGTGGTTCGAGGAGGTTACTCGACCAGCCTGCCGATTGTCCTGAGGCCAAAAGGCCCGCCACGGTCAGACTGGGAGTTGTTGGTTGAATCGGATTGGGTAGTTGTTCGAGGAGGTTATTCGAGGAAGTGGTTCGAGGAAGTGGTTCGAGGAGGTTACTCGACCAGCCTGCCGATTGTCCTGAGGCCGTAGCCCGCCACGGTCAGACTGGGAGTTGTTGGTTGTTCGAGGAAGTTGTTCGAGGAAGTCATTCGGGGAGGTTGCTCAACCAGTCTGCCGATTGTCCTGAAGCCAAAAGGCCCGCCACGGTCAGACTGGGAGTTGTTGGTTGTTTGAGGAAGTCGTTCGAGGAAGTTGTTCGAGGAGGTTGCTCGACCAGTCTGCCGATTGTCCTGAAGCCGTAGCCCGCCACGGTCAGACTGGGAGCGGTTGATTGAATGGATGCTTGAAATGAATGGGTGGTTGAATGGGTGGTTGAATGGGTGGTTGAATGGGTGGTTGAATGGGTGGTTGAATGGGTGGTTGAATGGGTGGTTGAATGGATGGTTGATTGTATGGATGGATGATTGAATGATTGATTGATTGATTGGATAGATGATTGAATGATTGAATGATTGATTGATTGATTGCTTGGATAGATGGTTGATTGGGTGATTGATTGATTGGATAGATGATTGTTTGGATAGGTGATTGTTTGGATGGATGGTTGGTTGTATGGATGGATGATTGATTGTTGGGATAGATGGTTGATTGGATGATTGGATGATTGGATGATTGGATGATTGGATGATTGGTTGATTGTTTGGATAGATGATTGTTTGGATGGATGCATGGTTGATTGATTGATTGATTGATTGATTGATTGTTTGGATAGATGCTCGATTGATTGATTGGATGGTTGATTGATTGGATGGTTGATTGATTGGATGGTTGATTGATTGGATGGTTGATTGATTGGATGGTTGATTGATTGGATGGTTGTTGATTGATTGTTTAGATAGATGATTGATTGATTGTTGTGAATAGATGATTGATTGAATGGATGGTTGATTGATTGCGATGAATGACGAGACGTAGTGAATGAACGGGAACATGAAGGGCAAAAAATGGGGATTGACCACAATTGACTCATTTTTGTGACAGCTGGTGAAACGTTGTTTGCCAGTCGCTTTGGGAAGCCATGCCGGATTGTTGGTTTGTTTTGAGTACAACAGTTCCAGCTGCTGGGTGGTCATGATGAAGTGAGGAGACGGAGGTGTGGGCAATATGGGGGTGGGTATGAAAGTTTCTATGAACTTTGAAGTTAGCAATGTTTGTATTCTGGGATGAATACACGTACATCACAAAAGGTTATTAGCTCAAAGCAGTCATGATGGAAGGTGACCTTGGAAGGTCCATGAAGGTTGGAAGGTGGGTGACCAAGGCGGAAGGACCATGTTGGAAGGTGACCAAGGTGGAAGGTGACCAAGATGGAAGGTGACCAAGGTAGATGACCAAGGTGAATGTGGTCAAGGAGGAAGGTCCATTGTGGGATGTCCTGGTAGATGGAAAGGATGGAAGGTCCAAAGTGGATAGGGCCACGTGGGGGATCCATGATGAAGGGAGACCATGGTGGAGGATGAAACCTTGAAATGTGGTGGAACCTTAGAAGTAGAGAAGAAGAGATATGAAGGAGGGAAGAAAAAAAAAGAGAAAGAAATGGGGAGGGGGGTATTTATACCCTGGCAGATGGATGAGCATCTGGGGAAGGTGCGGTTGGACCGGGTTGGTAGTTCCTTCCTAATTGGGAAGACTCAGTAGTAAACGAAGAGCGTCACGCACCTTAAGATTCAGGCATTCGCGTCCCTCCCTGAGAAGATGGCAATTTAGGTACACACAGCTGTAGCGTCTACTCATTGGAAGAGAGTTATGTAGATATTGAGAACTCCTGCATTTCAAGAAACCAACCAGATTATACTAGCTAGATAAAGCAACACCTACATGATGTGATCTTCAAGTCTCGGCTCACCAGTCTCCTTAACAGCAACGCGAGACGAAGCCCCCTTCCCAGTAAACTCAGTAGCTATACCCTGGTGCTGAGTACCGGTTGTCTCAGTCACAATGGCAGCGCCAGGAGCATCGCCAGGAGAACCATCTTCATCTCTATACCCCTCCACATCATTAACGACACGCTTCCCATGTCGCTGATCCATCCACCTACGCCATGGTTTGTAGACTAGAACGCTCAGCCCACCAAATACAATAAAGCAACCACAAATACCACCACCAATAGCATCGTAGTAGTCGCCAGCGACCTGGACGCCGTCCCAGAATTTGCCTTTGGCATCTGTGACGTTCAGGATGAGACTGAGCAGCTGGATCACGCCAATTATAATCGCCACGATGACGGTTAGCGTGGTCAACACGATCGAGTAGTACAGGAATGCGACTGGGTCGCGGTGGTTGTTTCGCGATTGCGGGAGCTCATCTGGGTCGCTGGCTGTTGATGAGGTGTCTGAGATGGTGCTTGTTGGTTTTTGCGGGAGAAAGTTGGCTGCTGGTTGGATGTAGAGGGAGAACATTAAGGCTCCGTCGATTGTGTCGAGGAGACACATACCGGCTGGGGGGTGTTAGTCGAAGACCCCAGAAGAAGTTATGGGCTCACATAAGAGGATACTAACCTGTGAATAGAGCTGGGAGAATGAGAATCACCCAGAAGGATGTTCCCTTCGCTGCTTCGATGGATGAGATTCCAAGTAGAGCGATCTCGGACGAAGTGTCGAAACCAAGGCCGAACAGAATTCCAAGGGGATACATCTTCCATGGGCTAGACAAGGATAGACACATGTGTCAGAGGCGCGGAACATCATAAGTTCACCAAAGAACATACCGGTCAATCAATTTGAACATCTTCTTCAAGATCTTGAACAGCACTCCTCCACCCTCGATCTTCCACGCTTCATCTTCATGGCCCTCAGGAAGACTGAATACCTTTTGCATCTGTTTCACAAGTTTGTACAGGATGTACGCATTCATAAGACCAAGTAGGATCAAAAAGGCAGCGCTGACGGAGGTACCGATGATTCCACCGACCGTGCTGAAGCTGTCGAAGCGCTCAGAGACTGCTGCTGCTGTGGCTGCGACGACAATAGATGTGATGATCACGATACTGGGCTCGGTCAGATTGGATTTCATATAGAATGAGGAGACTGTGCTCACGTTGAGTGACCAAGCGAGAAGAAAGTGCCCACGGTAACAGGCTGTTGTCCCGTTGCCAGAAGTCTTCTGGTCATTAGATCGATAGCCTATAGATAACATTGTTAATTATTTTGATATAGCTCGTGGTCGAATTCGACATACGGAAATATGATCCGCATCGAATGCATGTCTCAATCCAAGCGAATAGGCAAGGGCAGCTGTAGAAACTAGCGAACTGTAGACACGCAATTAGTATATAAAATGAGTTCCTAGCCATGATATATCCAAAGACTCACGGATGATAACTCTACAATAGTCATTAGCGAATCAGTCCAATGTCACACAAGCTATCAAAACATACTAGCACAATAGCCGCCGCAACCCAAACTAGAATATTCAACAACGCAATAAGCGCAATAATTCCAATGGCGCGAAGAGGAATCTTTCTAATGCCCGGCATTTTGCTATGCGAGCGCTCAGCACTGCGAAGAAGAGGCTGCAAGCTCCATTTGCGGTCGCTGTCTAGACTGTGCGAGTCTGTATCGGCAGTATTGCCAGACTCATTGAAAGCCGACATGATAGATTTTCCCGAATTCTTTGTAACAATACCTAAATTTATTTTATATTGGAAAGATATTGAGGAGATTCTCAAGACATTTAAAAGACTTTAAATCACAAGAAGAGGGGTTCCCTATACGCCTGCAGCTCTTAAACTTTTTAGATAACCGCGCCAAGCCCTGCTCTGCCAAGCATACACATCCAACCTTCCCTACTCTCTCTATAGATGAAATTCTGCGGGAGTTGACCCGAGTCATGAAGTGATCGAGATACCAATATCGATGCCCATGATCCCGTTAAAAACAAATCCCACGTGTTGAGTGTTGTAAAAAAAAAGTAGAGCTATAACACAGTAGAGCGGCGAGTTCCGATGCTGATAGGAAACGTGGATTATTCACAGCTTGTATTCCCATGTGCTAATAGTGTCAATGCTTCAATTTTCATGGTTGACACCCACTATAAATATTTTCCCGTGTCTATGATTGGACGGTCATGAGTAGGTGGCTGTCTCAGTTCGCCGGTCGCCGAATTTAAGCGGGGCCAAGCTATGGCTACTCCCGAGGTCGGCAAACTATATACGCCCGAGTACGTACCTGATTCATGTCAGCACCGTTTGGTATAGGGCCGGGGTATTTGATTATTTTTCGGATTTGCTAGTATTGATTCTGCTTGGATCTTTGGATATTGGCTAATTGGTGATTAAAATTTTGTATGGACACCTAAGAAGTGAACTATGTACACCGTGAATTGGTTCGCAACATTCAATTCCCTGACAAGATCCGTCATTAAAAGCTTTTGAGATCATTATCATATCAATATTAGAGCGCCAAGATGAATGCTTGGCGCCAGTCCGGGTACCGAAATTCTTCGCACCAGTATGTCACAACTGGGCAATCTGTCCTTCACCAACCCGGCCTATCAAGGTCTAGAATTGATGGAATCAGATACGGGGAAGACAAAGAGATGGTCCAGCAATACGAGCTAATTATAGTTCTCGTCTGTGTCTTCATATTCAAACTCAACAAAACCCCAACAAGTCTGGGGGATTAAACGTGAGCCGTGACCGAGACCCGGCGCTCACGACAAGGCTGGGGTTTGCTCTGGTTGGTTTTGTGCATCAAGCCAAAAGATAAGTCAAGGTCAAGCAGCGGCCAATGCCAGCACAGTTGGTGACGGAGTCCACTTGGTAACTCTAGGCTGGGCACGTATGTCCTGAGCGGCAAGAATATTCCACTCATTTCGCGTGATAGGAGTAACATCCGACGCAGAAAGAGGCGTCTTAGGTCCACGCTTCTTTTGTCCTCGCATGTTTGACGGTGGGGGCTGCCTCCGACCGCGCACAGTCTGGATGGGTGATCTCTTTACTTCACGAGGCCGTTCGGCCTTCACCCGGATAGGGATAGGATTAGCTTTGGGCTTCAAAAAGTCTCGCTCAGCTTTGGGCTGGGAGTTCACTTGAGCTTGAACCGCCTGGGCTTTGGCCTGGACTACAGCTGTAGCTTTTTCTGGAACGATAGCCTCAGCTTTGGGCTGGAGTTTCGCTTGGACAGGCTGAATTTTGGGCTGGACCACGGCTGTAGCCTTTTCTAGAACAATGGCCTCGGATTTGGGTTGGGGTTTCGCCTGAGCCGGCTGAACTTTGGCCGGGACTACGGCTGCAACATTTGCTGGAACAATAGCCTCGACTTTTGGCTGGGGTTTTGCACGAACTGCCTGAACTTTGGCCTGGACCACGGCGGTGGCTTTTGCTAGAACAACAGCCTCGGCTTTGGCCAGAACTGGCGACGGAGATGGTGCTGGAGGTTTTGTTTGGGCGGGAATAATGATAGCATCTTGACTGTGAACATTCTTATACGCAATTGCGACGGCAGTGAGCTGCTCGTCTAATATATCGAGCTGCTTATAGACACGGTGGAAGAAAGCTTTGCTAAAGGGGCGACCGGAGAAATCTGCGACGATTCGGTGGAGTAGCCGGACGCAGGATGACATTGATTGTTCCTCATTTCGGGAGAAGGGACGGGTGGAAAGGATACACACGCGGCGCTTAAAGGTATAGATGCGGTCCATGTTGAGAAGAGTTAGACCCTCCTGGCTGAAGATGACTTCATTTTGGAGAATGGATTGCTTGACGAGGTGATCGTTTGCCTGTCGCTCATATTGGCTCCGGCCGATGGCGTCGGTCCAGCTGGGGCCGAGTGAGAACTTCTTTGAACCTTTGGCAATGGCACGTTCAAGTACTCGCCATGCTTGTGGCTCAATCGGATGAATAGGGATGATCATTAGGTCGGAGGGTTGGCCAGTTGGGTAGGGCTTTCCGCGGCCGATGAGGAGGGTGACATGCATCACTCTTTGTTGAAGTTTGGAGGAGATGTATTCCAGCGCTGGAATTAGAGAGGGTGTGATGGTCTCCGAATCGAAGCTGAATTCTGGAGAGAGTGGTGGAGATATCATGTCGTTGGTGAGGGTTCTTGGTGGTCTGGGGACATAGATGCCCGTTGGGCGGGGTAGACGCATAACACCCATGATCTTGGGATTCGATATAGGGGAAACCCCTTTTTCGGTTGAAGGGTTGGAAATTGAAGGATTCGGATGGCTTGATTGCCATCAGACTCTGATATAGGGACTAGCTCAGGAGAACAACAGTCAATTCCCCCGCATCTCTTCAGTCTTAACATGGAAAACTATCAAATTAACTACTATTTAATAATTCTAATGATAGTAAATTTCAAATTCCATGGACGAATCATAATCTTCCGATCAGCACGATAAAAATACCCCCAAGGTTGTAACCGCTGCGGCGTTCGCCCACCCAATAGACGACCTTCATTGATCGCTGCCCTAATGCACGTATGCATGCCACAGCACACTTTCAAGGCATTGGATTTGTTGACCAAAATAGCCCCCACCTGAACATAATTGATCACATTTCCCACCATCCAGGATGTTGGAAACGTTGGATTTCATTGACAGGCTCAGAATGTCTCCCCAACTGCTAGCTCCGGACGTGTTTACAGGAACTTTCTTTCATAACGGCAGGTTCCACTAGGTCGGAAGTGGCAGCGCATATGATGAGATTTTAACTGGCTCAGTCTCCTGAATCACTGCATACGCGTTGTTGTCTATCATGAACTCTACCCTGTCAAACGACAGGGGTCGTCATTGTGCAGGTCTTCTCGGTGGTACCACCTAGTTAAGTAAATACGAGCCATCTCCTCATTCAGCCTCCCTAACTGCACCAACATAGACCTCCCACCATTATTTCGCCCCGAAATCCAACCCGGGATATGCATCGCTCCCACGAGGCTGAACAAGGCGGCTGACTCCCACATGTGAGAGGCAGACCCAGTCAACTTTGCTAGACCTGCATATGCTGTATAGTGGCTACACACCCTCCAATGTTGTTCCTTCTGAAGTAACATGATTCTGCCCTTCTAAGGCCACGTTGCTCATGCATCAAAGCGCTGTGGGTCACAACCTGCATCTGCGAGTCTTGATTCTGGACGAATGAATAACCGACCTGATCGGTGGCTTTGTTCTGCGGGCATTTCTTTGAGGGTACATCATGCCTGGCTCCCCACGAGGAGCCTCCTTCTCAGTGTCGGTGTGAGCCCAACTAGAGCATGATTCGCTTGTTGGCTTGCTGGTTGGGGGCCATCGTCTTCCACGTCAGCTATTCATGCTCTAGCCCATATCGCCTTCACCTAAATTGAGCTTAATTTGCTAGATTAACCTGGATGAACGCTAAGCAAGCGTGATTTTCTGTTTATCGCAATTCTTGGCATTATCTAAATACATGGACAGACCCCGACTCGATCTATGACTAGCCCAGGTATCCCATCGCTGAGACCTTCTTACTTTTTTTTTTCACTCGCTACTTCTGAATTTTAGATACTCCTACATTTCTTTACCTAGGCTATCAATCACGTTTTGGAAGCACTACTGACTATTGTCTCCCACTTCAGATGGGTTTTGTAAGACCCCACACTGCAGAATTTTGGATACCATCTCTGTGGCCATTTACTCTATGTAGCCAAGAATCAGGGTGCACTCGACTGATCATCGAGCCGAAACCCGAACCGTGTCTCTTCAAAGCCCGTACAATCACTTTAGGAGGATGTTTATCCGTTACGGTGGAGCCCACACGAGAAAAGAGAATGTCTTAATTGTACCTGAGACATTTCATATCGACGACTCGGCACTTCTCCGTATTGTTCAAACAGTTGAAATCGCTGGTTCCAGAAAGCCAAGGAGAGCTATGCCGGGCTTTCCTCCTCACACCGCTCCAATTTCGATACCAGCTGTGGTGTTTGCCCCTTGGTTGAGCCTTGGCCCAGAGCGACACACGGGAAAGTACAACAAGGGGTGCAACTGATTAAAACATTTGCTATGCAGCTAGGCGGGGCATTTCCACTCTTTCTATCTGGATCCACGAACAAGCGCGAGATAAGCTTGACAAACTGTTGAAACACACAGATAATCAAGGCAACCGAGAAGATCGACATCTCCGGAACTATACTTTGTCGGTACGGGCTAGAGATCGAGGAAACTGCACGTCTTGACGCCTCCTCGCATTGATGTGTTGTGATTGACGCCATAGCCGATCCTACCAGGCCCTATCCAAAATCCTTCTAGAAAATTATTCCCCGTAAACCAAAAGTACTATAGATTAAGACTCTAGATTAACCACTCGAGCACCGACCAAGAGAGATAAGCTATGATTCGATGGTTTTGCCCTTCCCTTTCATTGATTGGTTGAACCATCCGGAAACACTCTTGGCGCACATACCCAGACCCAAAAACGTGTATCTCGCTCAGGTTTAGGTTAGCGTTTCAGGTGCCAAGGTGAAATTTCATCTTGGCAATGGCAGGGTGCACATACTCTTTGAGGCTGGGCTTGATAAGGGGGGGTTTCTCACAAATTGGGGGCTATCAGCCGGCCCGGGGGCACTCGGGTGGCTGAGTCAGAGATATGGGGTTTTTAGACCCTTTTTGATTTCGATTTCAGTGCTTTCAATTTATGCAGCACAGTTGAACATTTCATCTATTTTTGTTTTTCTAGATAAATCAAAGTATCCATCACATATCAAGCATATCGAAAATCTGGGGGAAATGGGGGAGATGGGGCAACTTAATTCTCTCAGGCGAATGCCGTTGCAAAGCGCTCCCCCGCAGAGTTTCTTGGCGCCAATGTCTCCGCTTCCGTGTTCCGTTGTGATTCTATTACATATCAAGCTTTATCTCTAGATACATATAGTTCTAGAGAGGATGTATCAGGAGTACGGAGTATGTTGTACATATATCTGTATACAGTAATCATCTGCATCTTGAAGGCATCCCTGCCGAGGGATCTACAGCCGCATCGAAAAATCACGTTGTACCACGTGGGAACCGAACACGGCCAACCCCGTCGGATCGCGGATTATACCCTTCTTTCGGAAAGAAGCCAAGTGGACTGTGCAGTGTGGTCTGAGGTGTTATGATAGGTAAATTATTATAGTGCATGCTACCCCGTAAAATGAAAAAGCCTTGGCTAGGTCCCGAGGTCTTATGTTTTCGTATCTTATTTAATCGTGTTTCCCTCTGTTTTGCTTATCTTTCTCCAGGGCTGTGTTCTCCTCTTGGCTTTCCATTTAATCCCTCTTCCCCCGTCCTAGTCTTACATCTGGGATCAATTTTATCTCTTCGGGCTTTTTCCTCTCGGCGCAAAGCTCTGCGCGTCGAACACAAAATGGAGAAGTCTATCAAGGCTGACGATTACCCGCAACCAACCGTAACAAGGGAGTTCAGCGAGGATGGCAAGGTTGAGCATGGTGAGAGTGGTCTGAATGACCCTAACCATGTTGAACTGAAGCGTGCGCTCAAGGCGAGACATATTACTATGATTGGTAAGTGCAGCTCTGAGCCCTAGAGTCGCACACGAGTATGCGCTGACAGTGAACAGCCATTGGTGGTGCTATTGGTACTGGTTTGATTATCGGAACGGGAGAAGCTCTTGCAAAGTAAGTGATTGTCCAGACATCTTACCCTAGGAGCCAAGGCTAACAAAATTGCGTGCAGGGCTGGCGTAAGTGTTTACACTGGAATTGACCGAAACTTCTTACTGACTTAATATAGCCCGGTGCAATTCTTATTTCTTACGCTTGGGTTGGTTTCATTGTTTTCCTGGTTATGTGCGCTCTTGGTGAGATGGCGGCTTGGCTGCCATTGCCATCTGGTTTCACTGGTTATGCTGTTCGTTTCGTTGACCCTGCGCTTGGTTTCACTCTCGGTTGGACGTATGTACCACTAATCCCCTTCGAGATGGCCGCGCTAACACAAATCCAGATATTGGTTCAAATACATCATTTTATCGCCGAATCAAATGACTGCAGGTGCATTGGTCATATCCTATTGGATACCTACAGAAAAAGTCAACGCTGGAGTATGGATTACCATATTCCTGATAATCGTTGTCGCTATCAACTACTTCGGCGTGAAGTTCTTCGGTGAATTCGAGTTCTGGCTATCTTCCATCAAGGTCATCGTTATCCTCGGTGTCATCCTCCTCTCCTTCATCCTCATGCTTGGTGGTGGGCCGGACCATGACCGCAAGGGTTTCCGCTTCTGGAAAAGCCCAGGTGCTTTCAACACTTATAAGATGGAGGGATCAGCTGGCCGATTCTTGGCTTTCTGGTCCACAATGGTGTCCGCTACATTCGCCTACTTGGGCACTGAGCTGGTCGGAGTGACTGTCGGTGAAGCACAGAACCCTCGCAAGACGATCCCTCGTGCGATCAAGTTGACCTTCTACCGAATCCTGGTGTTCTACGTGACCAGTGTGCTGTTAGTCGGCACACTTGTTCCCTACAACTCCAAGAAACTTCTCTTCGCCCTTTCCGATGACAACAAGAAGAAGGGCTCAGCCGCAGCTTCACCCTTCGTCGTCGCCATCGAGCTCGCCTCCATCCCAGTCTTGCCCCACATCCTGAACGCCTGTATCCTACTCTTCGTCTTCTCAGCAGCAAACTCCGATTTGTACATTGCCACCCGTACAATCTATGGTCTCGCCCGCGAAGGCAAAGCCCCCAAGATCTTCGCCCGCACTGACCGTCGTGGCGTCCCCGTCCCCGCATTGGCTATCTCATCCATCATTGCCTTGCTCGGCTACATGAACGTCAGCAGTGACTCCAAGACTGTGTTCAAGTACTTCGTGAACCTGGTTACCATCTTCGGTCTGCTTACCTGGATCTCCATCCTGGTCACTCACATCTACTTCGTGCGCGCGCGCAAAGCCCAGGGCATCCCCGAGGAAAGCCTGGCTTACAAGGCGCCCTTGGGTGCCGCAGGCTCGTACTTCGCTCTGGGATTCTGCATCCTCATCGCTTTCACTAAGAACTTCGATGTCTTCATCCACAACCCCAAAACATACGGAAACTTTGACTACAAGAACTTCATTACCGCTTATCTCGGTATCCCTCTTTACCTCATTATGATCTTTGGTTATAAATTTGCCACCGGCTGCAAGGGTGTTGACCCCATGACGGCTGATCTCTTCACCGGCAAGGACGAGATTGATCGCGAGGAGGCGCTGTATCTCGCTGCAAAGGAGGCACAGGCCGAAAAGAACAACGATGCAAGCTGGTTCTACCAGAAATTCGTCTCCTGGCTTTTCTGAGGCGGAATCTATGTCAATATCTTGTTGTGGAAATTGAGCGCTGTTTGTGCCGTCGTCTTTATTGACAGGCCGTTAATATCTTGAATTTTACCGTTAGATGTTTCGATTATGAGAAATGATTTTCGGTCATGGTTAATTTTATCGCGTAGCTTCCGGTAGTTGTACAATATACATGTGGTCAAGCACAAGCACGTGATAATTACATTAACGATCAATGAGTCCCCTAATGTATATAAAGTAAGTGGTCACTTTCTCAAAGTCATGTCACATCTAAGTATACGGGCACAATGGAAGATCTGCATTACATTCTTTACATTCTTGGGCCGAAGTAGCCAACATACTGTACAGGGATCCTTCAACATCAGAAGTACCGTAATTAAAGGGGAAAATGCGCTCGTAAAGTCAACATGTAATCATCAAAAGGAAAAGCCTACAGGCTGTCGGATAGAGGTATCTGATCGCCCATCAAACCCTCAAAGCTGATATCAGACGCCTCCTCGCCCCAGACAAACTTGCCGAATGTCAACAGAGCATTGAAAATCTCCTTGCCCGTTGGAACAATGTGCTCCGAAGGCAAAAGGAATCCGTAACTACCGCGGTCACGGAGTTTGATCTGATACGAGAATTTGGCGTGCAGCTTATGGTAGAACCAATCCAATGCACTGCCGCCCGAGGTAACCCCAGCAGCAGCGCCTTGAGAAAGAATCCCTTCACATGCTGAGGTAACGTCATATGATTCATGGGAGGTCTGACGAATAGACTTGGCTAGACCTAACGCTAGTTCCTCAAGACTCTCGAGGGTGGGGGGCACGGATGAGCAGGAGTATGAGTAAGGGTATAGAATCTGCTGGGAGTAGGAGTGCAAGTCAACGAGGCCTACAATCTCAGCACGACCATGCGAGGTCTCGTTTTGAGCCCACAGGGCCAGGCGCTGCGATTCAAGTGCTTCGAAGGGCTCTGAGCCGGCGTAGTTCTCTGAGCACGGGTTCGAGCGAGTCGACTCGCCGTCCCACTCATAGTCCCAGGCCCGGTCTAGGTCAACGCCCGGGCATAGTGGAAGACCCGTTGGCTGGCGGTTCTTGCGCCACAGACGGTCTGATTCCCATGAGTAGACGTATCCGTCCGGGTTGAGGGTTGGGATTAAAACCCAGTCATACTCTTGCAGTAACCGTGTTACTGCGGGCGAATAGCCATAATGAGTGATGAGGCTGTATGCGACATATGTTACCGTGGAGGTACTGATCCATTCCCTGGCATGAGTGCCGCCGACGATAACGATTGTCTTGCGAGGGCCCGATTTGTGTTCTGGGTCGGTAGAGGTGCCGACTCGCAATGCTGGGATCTCGCGACCCTCGTAGGTGGCTCCTACGCTGAACATCTGTACGTGCGAGGAGAACATTGATGCCATCAAGCGCATCCATTGCGTGATGACATTGAGCGGCTGGTATTCTTGGAAGAATAGGTCGCCGTTCGATATTGTCTTCAGTTCCCCTGATCCAATTCTTGATCCAAAGTCTGAATCGGTACGGTGGCGGGAGGGGTAAGAAGCGTATATATTATCGGCGAGGTTGTCCATGAGAGGAGTGTAGGAGGTGCGGAGTGTTGAAGGTAGTAGGTCCAACAAGGAAGGGATCTAACAAGATAATTAGTGAGGCGATCACATAAAGTATCCAGAATAAATCTCACCATATCATCTGCAAGCCTAATATCTACGAATTTTGAGGTTATGGCCCAGATGTCCAAAAATAGCACATGGGAGGCGGAAGCTAATGCTTCTGCCTCCTCCGGCTCGCGCAAATGGAATCGGAGGACGACATCACTGCCATACCGATCATGAATATTGGACGGTGGCGACGAATGTTTTGAGCAATGTTTGTGATCAATATCCCATATCGAGCCAATTACCCAGTCGCGGAGCCGACTCCATGGGCGCGGGTTGGTATGAGGTTGGCGGACAGGTAGCAGGGGTGGCGGTGGGGTGATGCTCGAACCAGCGGGGACGGCGGAGATAAGAGGGAGCAAGGTCGATGCGACCAATATCGGTGATAAAAGACGCATGCCGAGTCGCAATGATCAAGTTTTGAAGGGGGTATTCACAATCAGAGAGGTTCACAGGTACTTAGGTTCCCAAGATTCTGTGAGATCGGATGCGGAGAAGACCTCGGGAAGGGGACAAAGCGTTGAGATAAGCCCTGGACAAGTTTTAGTCCAAAAGTCCAAAGTATCAAATTAAATGTAACAAGAAGTGTAAAATAATAAATATTTGTTAGCCATTAAAATCCGGAGAGAAGAATGACATGCAGGCAAAAAAGTCTAGGATTTTCTACGTCAGTGGCCAAGGTATTCGATATACAACAATAAAATGAACAGTTTTTTATCTTATTTGAACATTCTATTGGTCTATTAAGATCTTTTTTTTTAATTTAATTAGAAGATACCCCGTACCTTTAATACACTAAATCCATTGCTCTCTCTCTCTCTATAAACCTGGTCAATTACCCGACGCTCAGACCTAGATTCTAACTCGTCTGCCTTGCCCCTCTGTTTTTTTTTATTTCTTTCTTTCTCTTCTATACTTTAATTTTATCGATATTTTTTGCTTGTGTGAAATAAAAGAAAAATACGCGTGGCGGCAGAATCAAGAAATCTAGAACCTTTCCCTTTCCGGTGTTCCCCTTTTTGCCAGGGCGCTGACACCCCAGATCCCACTCTGGAATGTCCTCGATTCCCATTCTCATCTAAACGCGTTTCATGGATCATTAATTTGGGTCTGTAGCGCTCTGTCCTTCACCATGCATTGGAAAGGACTGCGTCTTGTCGCTGATGGCAAGAGGCAGAGCACCTTTGAGCCTCAAGCCCGTCACAGTGAACAGCTTCCACGTCCTTATCCCCCCGCCGAGCCTAGACTATCCGAGTCAATTTCTCGGTCATCAGACAGCCCGGTAAATCAAGGACTTCAGGTACCAGATGACAACGGGTCGCACCATGCGGTATCTCAGCCAGACCTTGCAGAACCATCTGAGGGAGACCGTCCCAGCTTACGCCACAAGCGATTCAGTTTCATGAGACTACGCCATGCATCTGACCCCCAACTTTCGAAGTCTTATGTCAAGGCGGGCCAGGACACTCCCCCAGTCCCTTCCTTACCTCGTAAGTGAAACATAACAACCCCAATGCTCATCAGAATAGATTGATTGACTGTCTCTACCGGATACAGCTCCCAAGATCATTACTACCGCCCCGACTAGCCACGAGCTCGACCAACCCGTGAAACAAAAACCCAGGCTCAGCTTTCGACCATCGTCACGAAAACAGTCTATGGAGGAAATGTCTCGGAAATCAATGGAACACCCCGCGAAGCCTCGTAGAAGGGGCCAAGGATCAACCGACTCCCAGGTTACCGACTCGACGCTTGCCATGTCCCGGAGTATCACCGAAGAACCTGGGCGCTTATCAACCAACTCGCTTCGCGGAAACCCGCAGACCAGCGACTCTCAGCGCTCGTCGGTCATTGATACCCGATTGTCCGAATCCTCACGATCAGACCAGAGTTACGGTGACCATACAGTCACCCGAAGCGTTTCCCCTCGTGATGGCCAAGGCGCCAATACCGCAAAGCGATTCCGTATGCCGCGCTTGAAACGAACCCGGGCCCCTCTCTTCCCTTTACCCCCGAAAGTCTCGCACCCGCCTGGAGTGGATAATCGACCGAAGTTCCCCCCGGTAGATACGCCAAAATCCGAGGCTTCAGATGGCCAGGACCAAATCTCACCACTACCTTCCCCATCCCGTTCCACTGTGGGGCTCGCTACCTCGAGTGTACTACCGCTATATCGAAATGATTCGACAAATTCCGCTCACTCAGTCCGATCCAATCCCTCTGTTAAGAACCGAGGACGCTCGTCTACCATGGGATCGCTGGCCGAGAACCAGGACGACTTGTCCATACCCCCATATTTGGCATCCTCGACACGCACCTCCACTTCGACCAGTGGCCGCAAGAGTTTCAGTGATATGTTCAATATCACGCAGCGATTGAGGCAAAACTCCTCCCCACCTGCTCCTCGCCATGCTTCACCCGCGGTAGGCGGCACCTCCACTCCGATTTTAAAGCAAGAGCTCCCAGTAATCCCAAAACGGGAAGAAAACGATACACCCGCTTCATATCTAACCCGCTTAGAAGAAACTCTGCCCCGCGGCATGATTGCTGGTGTCCTCGCTCAATCAGAGGAGGAATTCTACAAGATCTGCCTGCGAAAATACATGAGAACTTTCTCATACTTCGGTGACCCACTCGATATGGCAATCCGCAAGCTTTTGATGGAAGTCGAGCTTCCGAAGGAAACACAGCAGATTGATCGGTTCGTGCAAGCATTCGCTGACCGCTATCACGAATGCAACCCAGGCATCTTCACAGCCCCGGATAACGCTTACTTTATTGCATTTTCGCTTTTGATTCTTCACACCGACGTCTTTAACAAGAACAACAAACGGAAGATGCAGAAGGCGGACTATGTCAAGATAAGTCGCAGTGAGGGAATCTCGGAAGACATTCTTGAGTGTTTCTATGAGAACATCTCATACACCCCGTTCATTCGGGTCGAAGACGCCAATCTACCTGACCGTCATTTGGTGAAACCACGCCGCACTCTATTCAAAACCACTAGCTCCGAACATTTGTCCCGGATTGCACGGGAGCCTGTCGATCCCTATTCGCTTATCCTGGAAGGCAAATTGGGATCCCTGCGCCCCAGCTTGAAGGATGTCATGGATCTGGATGATACATACAATCATTTTGGAACCGCTGGGCCACCAGACATGGATGCCCTTCACCTGGCCTTCACCAAGTCCGGAATCCTACAGATCATCTCTCTGCGCTCTCGTCCTGACGCGTTCATGCCGGCTAGTTTGGATAGTCCACTCGACTCGAATCCCGGTCTGGTTGATATCAAAGTCGCCAAGGTCGGCTTGCTTTGGCGGAAAGACCCGAAGAAGAAGAAGGCCAGGTCACCCTGGCAGGAATGGGGTGCTATTCTCACATTCTCTCAGCTCTACTTCTTCCGCAATGTGAACTGGGTTCGCTCACTCATGGCACAGCATGAGGTATACGTCAAGAATGGCCGTCGAGGAACTCTCGTTTTCAAGCCACCCCTTGCGGAATTCAAGCCGGACAACATCATGTCTACTGGTGATACAGTTGCTCTCCTAGACTCGAGCTATAAAAAGCATAAACACGCCTTTATGTTTGTTCGGCACAACGCGTTGGAGGAGATATTCCTTGCTAGCTCTGAGTCTGAGATGAATGACTGGCTTGCACACCTTAACTATGCTGCAGCCTTCAGGACCACTGGTGTGCGCACCAAGGGCATGATTGCCACGAATTATGAGGGACAGCGATACCGCAGGAGTCAGCGATTGAGCTCGATATCTTCACAAAAGTCTCAACAGTCGACGGAAATAGAGCCCCCTTCTCCCAGTATCGATAACGACATTGTTGCCGAATTTGTTGCTGCACGACGAGAATTGATGAGCCAGAAAATCCGGGAGAGAAATGAAAAGCTTTTGATGCTACAAAAGCAATTGGATGACCTTTTACAAAATGCTCGACACTTGCAGGTTCTCACTCCTCTTCACGCTCGGGCCCGCGAGAGCGTCATTATGGCCGCAGGCCGGCTCTCTGCCAAGATTAAATGGGTGAGACAGGATATCTGGCGCAGCAAATGTTACCGCCAGGTTCTCTTGCGAGATCTGGGAGAGGATGACGAGGTAGTGGAAAGCAGGGTCGGGTCTGTCGCTGAACCGACGCCATCCCAGTCGGACGGAGCACGTCTGGCCTCTCTTTCCGGGCCGTCGGTGACATCGGAACCTAGCGTGGAAAGAGGGAGCAGTATTGTGCGTACCGTCTCCAGCGCCGATACCCGTGAGTCTAATGTGGGCCAACCCGAGCAGCCCTCGGAGACCGGGCTGCTGGGTAAACCTTCGAATGATGAACTGCGTCGTCCTAGTATCCCGGCATCTGTCACTTCATCTGACATTGCTCGTATCGGTCGCCGGCGCTCTGCCGTGGCCGTCCCCGAGCGTGCCAAGTCATACTCACCCGATCCAACGACCCTCAAGCTCGAGCGTGAAGCTTCGGTCCTCAGCCGTGCCAGCCGATGGGATGGAGCTAGTATGGCATCTCGTACTTCGAAACTGACATCGCCCGCGAGCTTCGATGATGGCGAGGAGCGCGTTCTGAGGGAAGCTGGTCTACTGGCGCTACCAGAGTCCCCGTCGGCACGCCATGATGAAGAGATCGCCCCTGATACACTCCCCGAAGGCGAGACAAATCCAAACGATAAGAACGACAGACCGAGTCGCGTCCGTCGTAGCCTTCATCGCACGCTCCGTGATTCGCATACTCATAGAAACCACTCTCGTTCGAAGAAGAAACGGGGTTCAGTGTCTAGCATTGGGCAGGAAGAGGATGATCAAGTCTCCGGTGATGGAGAAGTCCTTCCTCGCAAAGCCCCCAGTTTCACTGTGCACGGCAAAAAAGCATCCGTCGTCACATTCGGTTCTGAATGGCAGAACATGCCCCCGGAAGAGCGCCTCAAGCTCCGCAAGCCCACCCCTCATGAAGAACCACGGGCGTCGGATCCTGCTATCTTGGGTAGTGGCGAGTCGATTATGACCGACCGCAGCCCGGAACGTCGCTCGGTGCGCAGAATGAGCACTGCCACAGGTCTAAGTGTGCACACCGACGATCTGGCGGAGTTCAAGGATGCGCGGGAAGAGCTATCGGAAGAGGACATCGAGGGCCCGGCTTCTCCAGTGATCACCACGCTTCCGACTTCAGATGCAAATGCCCTAGACACTGAACATAATCCTTTCTCCCCTTCATCCACAATGTACAACAGCCATCTTTCTGCACCAAGACATGACGGCTCTCCCTCCCCCTCCCCCTCCTCTACATCTATCAACGAGCGAATTGTCGATACGCCGTCCAGCGAAAACCTACGTGAGCAGGCCGTAGGCGCCTGAGTCTGTACGCCTTCTTCAACTCTCGACCCTCTCTTCCTTTACTTCCTTCTGTACATCCTGACCATTCTCATTTTGATCTTCTGCTTGACGATTATTATACCCCTTTCACAAACTCTTGCGCCTCATCTTATCTTTTCCTGGTTGGCTTTCTTTATTCTTGCATTAACATCTGGCGAATCTCGGTTTCGTGACAGGTTTTCGGTTCGGGTGGGATTTTTGAGCATCTGTCTGCATCCCCTTCTGCATTTGTGCTTCTGGGAACTTTATTCATTTGCTTCCAGATCGTTGAATGAGATCTGTATGACAGGCTGCATTCATGGGCGTGCTTTGATATCTTATGGCAATCTGGCCATTTCATTTCGATTATGCTTCTTTCGAGTCTGAAGCTGTGGAATTACTGATAGACAAAAGCGAATTATGATTGACAATGATTTGATTCCATCCTTTCTCATTGTTTCCGCAGTATCTGTACAAGCTTATATGTATACAATCACTTAGCGACTACGCATTTGAGTCGAATGATTGTTCTCAGTAGGAAGATGAGCATACAATCCCAATGTTGTATATGTTGCATAGGGCTGAGAAAAGCGGTAAACCAAGCGGTGAACCAACCCACCAATCCCAAGTCCCAACTTCCCACGCGCCTCCAAACCCCCGATCAAAAACCCATTACGACATTCCAAAAAGCTCCAAAAAAGCCACCCTCACCTCCCATCAACTTCCACGCCAACATCCAAAATGGCGCACTCAAAACGCAACACCTCCCTCCCACACTTCACCTCATATGAACGCGGTCTATTACGCTCAACATGGGGCACAAAACGCAGCGCAATCGGCCGCGACAGCTTCCTACCCTTCGGCTCGTGCCGTCTATGTCTGCAACCCGCACGCGCGCCTGTAGTCGCATGCGCCAGCAACGGTGACCTCTTCTGCCGCGAGTGTGCGATCAGCGATCTCCTCGCTCAGCGACAGGAGATCAAGCGACTTGAAAAAGAGCGCGATGAGGCGCGGAAACGCATTGCGGAGGATGAGGAGCGCTCGTTGGCGGAAATGAAGGAGAGAGATCTCAAGGATTTCGAGCTTGTTTCTATGGGATTGGAGAATAATGGTGGGAGGAAGAGGAAGGCGGAGGAGTCGGAGGCTTTGGAGAAGTTTAAGGCGAGAGAGGTTGAGGTTGGTGGGAAGAAGAAGAAGGTTTTTGAGCTTGGGGAGGAGGAGATGGCTCGTGTTGCTAGGGATGAGAGGGAGAGGTTGAGGAGTGAATTGAAGATGGAGAAGGTTTGTTCTTTCTTGGAATTGGAGCTTGAAGCTTGTGTCTTGGCTAACTTTGCTTCAGTCGTCTAACAAATCCGCGCTGCCGTCTTTCTGGGTCCCTTCGTTAACGCCGAATACGGATGCGAATGAAATCGCTGCCAACAAGGCTGTCAAGTTGACGCCTGTTTGTCCTGGGTCGACGGATGAAAGCCGGCATAGCTACTCGCTCAAGTCGCTTGTTGATGTGAATTTCACAGAGGAGAAGGCTTCCGATGGGACTGTGTCTAGGGTTTGTCCGAGTTGCAAGAAGAATTTGAGTAATGGGCTCAAGGCGATGCGTATGTGGAATGGAAGCTGGTACAGCCATTGGATCTTGCTAATTATCTCTTATGACAGTCACAAAACCCTGCGGACATGTCATTTGCGCTCCGTGTGTAACGAAATTCATGACTCCCCACGAACATCATGTGCCCGATCCACATGCCTCAAAGGAGGAGCAGGAGAGAACTGCTGCTCTTCATGGTCAGGTTCTATGTTACGTGTGTGAGACAGATATCACGGCAAAGTCAAAACCAGAAGACAATGGGAATGGGAATGGGAATAGCAAGAAGTCTAAGAAGAAGGATAAGGATGCTATTCAGCCTGGTCTGGTGGAGATCTCCTCCGAGGGGACTGGCTTCGCTAGCAAAGGTGGGAATATGGGGAAGAAGAATGGCGTTGCATTCCAGTGTTGAGTCTAAAATAACCGAACAAAAAACATAAAACACCAGGGTGTTGATTATGTATACGATAAAATATCCTGATTTTGCCGCCCGGAGCGGTTATTAACGCCCGAACCATGCAAATACAATGTTCTAGATATACAATGAAGCCAAGCGAGAAGTCAACAGGCGAACCTAGTCTCTCTCATCCCATATACATCAAGCTCAAGAGCGCTTCTTGGCATTGTTGAACTCACGCACTGTGACCTTGCAAGCCACCTCCTGACACAGACGACGGCGGCGACTGAGATCCAACTTAGAACCGAACTCCAAACCAGAAGCACGCTCAATAGCCTCGAGAGGAACCTCGAAGTCAGTCAGAGCCTTATCATTCGCAATACGAGCATTGGGCAGAACAAAAGCACCAAGCGCAACCTTGCTCGTAGGCGAGTTGGTGCCATCCTCGGCATAAATAACCTTATAGAAATGCGTGGGCACAGCGACGTTAGGCGGGTTACCAATAACCTCGTAGTTAACGCGCCACTTTCCATCCGGGTCACGGTGAGGCAGGTACAGCGGGCCGGTAACAACACGAACGGATGGATAACGCTTAGTGAGATCGCGGCAGAAAGTCTCAAAGTGAGCCCAGTAGTCGCGGTTGAAGCCCTCTCCGACCTGCGGACACATATTGCTCAATGCGAAAGTGCCGTCCATCGCATCCTGTGACCACTTCGCATCTGCCGCTGGCACCTGGTGTCCGCGGTCATAACCTGAGCGGAAATAGTCCGACAGCTTGGCACGGAACATGGACGGGATGGTGGTGTCCTCGAAGAAGGTGCTCTTTTTTCGGTCGGCGTTGTTAAGGGCCAGGGATTCTGGGGTTATGTGTTCTGCGACCCAGGATGGGTTGCGTGTGCGTCGGTCGTAGGCGCCGTGCAATGGGAGCGAGGAGAGCTCGTCGGCGATTGGGCCTGGGAAGCCATACTGGAGGATTCCGGCTGCATCGACGGGTCCGGTGGCTAGTTTGGATGCTAGGGCCGGTGCTGGGATAGTTGTGGGCACTTTAGGGCCTGGGATTGTTGGTGTCGGGGGGAGGGTCTCTTGTTGGGGCTTTGAGGGTTTGCCGGAGAAGAGCAACGCGGTGACACCGGCACCAGTGGCTGCACTGGCGGCAGCGATGACGGCCAAAGTTGCCTTGGACATGGCTAAGTGTCCGGGTATATTTAGGGCTTGTTGAAGTCGAAAAAAGTCAGGAACCGAAAGAACAATAAAAAGTCGGGGAGTCACGGGCCAATCATATCACATGAAGAATGAACTATTGTTATTCTACAGGGGAAGGATGGATGAATATATATATATTCTCCTCATTGTATATTTCTTCATTCTCTCGTGATTCTTTTGTGTCTGGTGAGTTCTAAAATTATTTCAAATCACAAGATAAATGTCACATCAACCCCCTTGCATATGCCCTTATGAGTGTTGTTAAGTCACACTAGATAACTTGCCATTAAGATAGTATTTATGAACCTCCGGTGGTCGGACTTTTTATCCATATCCTATAACTCTATAGTTCTCAAGGGACTTACATACATTGGATATTCATAATGGCAGACTGTCTATTCCACCTCCCATGTCGCAGATCTTATGAGGGGGAGCTGCACCGCAGTGAGAACCTTGGGGGTGAATGCGCCTCAGACAACAGGTGATCGACAATATAAATCCCCCATGGACATCGTCATATTTTCATTATCATCAAGAGAGAGAGAAGGAGAGGCGAAGTGTTGACCGCCAACCCGTTACCAATTACATCACCGTTTTCCGTTTTCTTCAACTCCCCACGACATGTCTGCTAACGACCTCCGGGGGTGGGTGATGAGCGCCGTCTCAGGCGTCGGTAAGTATCACTTGAAAATCATCGCGGTCAATCGCTAATTGTATTCAGCCTGCGTCCTTGGTTCCTCTATCATCTGTATCGATGTGCTGGTGCGGGTGCTTTCCCGCCGCAAGAGCTTCCAGATCGCCAACAGTAGTAATTTCTTGTCGGCATCATTATGTCTTAGCGCCGGAGTTATGGTGAGCTATCTCTTCAAAGGAATGTATAGGTTATACTAATTCCAAACAGCTCTTTACCTCCCTCTATAGCATGCTCCCCACCTCGAAGCAGTACCTGACGCGCGCTGGCTTCTCTCCCGGTGTATCCGCATATATTTTGATCGGCCTTTTCATTGTTGGAGTGATAGGCATTCAAATAGTATCCGCATTTGCACACCGATATATCCCATCTCATGTTGTCGACTGTGCGCATACCCACGGCGAGTCGGAAAGTGATCCCGAACGCGGAGAGCTGACACACGAGGACCATGGCCACAACCATACAAATGGACATACCGAACGAACACCATTGTTACGGCCTAATAAGCCATCTTCATTCAAGTCAACGCCAGCGGTGGTACAGCGGAGCCAACATACCGAGCCGGAACCCAGACGCCGCGAGACGATGCGGGCGATATTAACGCGCAGCATTACCTCCCTCATGGGTGGCGTAAAGCCCACCTGCGATGAAAACGGGCCTTGCTTCGGCGTTTCTCAGACCTGTGGTAGTGAATGTACCAAGGTGCTTCCGCCATCCAACGTCAATGAAACCGCACGGCCAAGCCTGCCGCAACGTGAAAGTATCTCTGTGCCGCTAGAGCCGGAAATTGCCCGTGCAGAAAGTGACATTAGCAATGAACATACACCTACTACAATGGAAGGAGGGTATTTTGACAACATCTCCGCACACCACCACATGCACCCGCGGAATCCATCCGCTTCGCATTCCGAGCATCATTCCGAACATCATCCTCATTCTGAGCATCATCACGAATCTCATGGTCATCGCGACGAAATTGATTCCGAGCGTCCCAAATCTGCCGCCGGAAACCCACACCACCATCACGTCCCTAAAAATGCATTCCTCTCCATCGGACTCCAGACCTCACTCGCCATTGCTCTGCATAAGCTTCCCGAGGGGTTCATCACCTACGCCACAAACCATGCCAGCCCAACTCTCGGTATGACAGTATTTCTAGCGCTATTTATCCACAACATTGTGGAAGGCTTCGCTATGGCACTCCCGCTCTACCTAGCCCTCGGTTCCCGTTGGAAGGCAATGTTCTGGTCCAGCCTCCTGGGAGGTATTAGCCAACCGGCCGGTGCTGGTCTGGCTGCACTTTGGATCTGGAGCACTGGGCAACACGGTAGCGACGATGCTATGGGCCCGTCATGGGGTATATATGGAGGTATGTTCGCCGCCACTGCTGGAGTCATGACTTCCGTTGCATTGCAGCTCTTCAGCGAGGGACTTAGTCTCACCCATCACCGCGGGATGGGAATCGGGTTTGCCATTGGGGGAATGGGTTTGATGGGCCTCAGCTTTGCATTGACTGCTTGACCAGGCTGGCTCTGATTATTTTTTTATCTGGCATGCATGAACGCACATATTGTTCCTGCTTCCAACTACATTCATTCAATATGGCCAGTGTAGTCTTGCACAAATGGACAAGGGTAGGTGCAATTTCGGACAATATCTCTTATCAACAAACTGCTGCAGGTGTCAAATCACCGATGTGGTGGAAGCACAATACCTGGTGTCATTGGGTACTGTATGTACATTCCTCGTGCAGATAATGCATTAGATTTCAATATATCCTTTCTACATTCAAATCGAGTCTACCGCAAAGTATATTAGGCCAAATATTCAGGTTATTAAAGTTGACAAGTAGCTGGATAACTTCAAGATCGTGATATTAACTATGGACATGGTGTACAATTTGGTCCTATAAACATTTTAGAACATCAGAAAACGCCGGCATAGAATCCAAATATAATACATCTTTCAAATCCCACATACTCAGAGAGCCTGCACCGAAACACGTCTCGGGGCACCGCTAGACTCGCGCAGATGATTGTGGTGCATCTGGCCATCCTCCTCCATATCCTCAACATCAATACTAAACCGTCTAGGCTTCGACCAAACGCCGAATTCCGCACCTCCATTAGCCTCACCAGCTTTCTTCATCTGCTCGGTCTTCACACCGAACCGATCAACCAACGACTGGTACAGCTCCGCATGCGCCGAAGCCCGTCTGGCACTCTCACCCGTTCCAACACGTTCCTGAGCACGACGCATCAACTCCATATGCTGCGACGCAACATCAGCAGCGCTGGAGTGGCCTTCTGCCTCAGTGTCGCCGAGCAGGTCGTACAGAATTCCTTCGTGCAGAGCCGCAGCGGACTTGTGGTTCTCTGATGCTGTGAACATGGCAGAGAGAAGCTTGGTCATGTCCAGGGTAACCGGGTCGCAGCTACCCCATACCTGGCGAAGGTTGTAGCAGATGTCACGACATAGCTGGATGGCGGAGTCGACTTTGCCGCTGCAGAAGCGGGTTTCGACTAGTCGGCGGCCGATCCATACGACCACGTCTGGTGTCCAGGTACGCTGGACGATTCGAGAGGTCCAGAGTTGGGTTAGGATTGTTTCGAGTTCGTCGAACATCTCGTATTGGCCCAGGAGGGTGATGATGTCGTTTAGGTGATTGAAGGGGAGGTCGACCATCTCGGTACCCATGGATCTCGAGGCTGCCATGATCTCTTGTAGGAGGAGCTTGGACTTGATGGACATGGCTTGGTAGGTCTTTTCGTTTGTGCACTTAGTTGCCTTGTGGCCGCTGAGGTATAGGCAGAGCTGGGTGGCGGTGTTGATGCTCTCGTGGTTGTTGAGACCGTCGGTGAGATGCATGAAGGAGTGCAGAACGCCTGTCAGGATGGTGGCTTCCTGGAAGCGGGAGGAGTTGCACAGGTCCCGGACGAGCTCAGTGGTCGTTTTCAGGATGTTCATGCTGTAGTTGTCGTGGTGAACCTCACGCAGACAGATCTGGTAGAACTGCTGTACGATTCCTTTGTCGGCGACCTTGTTGGCGGACAGGTTGGAGCAGAAGTAGGCGTACAACTTGTCCTTGGTTTCGTTGGCAGCCCGAACTCGCTTCTGACCAATCTGGATATTGTAGAGCTGGTGGCCATTGATCAGAGTAGGAATGAAATCGTGGCTGGAGAGGCTCTTGGCAAAGGCCTGGGAAGTCTTCATCTCACGGGCCATGTCCTTCATGATCTGGTCGTAACTGGCACGCCTGCCGAAGACTTCCTCGAAGGCAGCGACAAATATGGCGTCCCGACGAAGGTTCAGATCCATGGCGGAAGCTTCGGGGCTGTACACCACGCGGTGGCGAAGCTCATCGAGGAGATTGTTGCCGCCTTCGATGAAGCCGCACTCAAGGTAGATGCTTGCGATCCGGCGGGCCCAGTCGGCCATTGTGTCAGGGGCACCGTCGTCATGCAATACATCGGTAGAGTAGGCGTGGAGAATAGCGTTGCCCTGCTGAACGGAAGAAGCAGTTCCCTGCCGCGAATGCGCGAGAGCAAGTTCACGGAGCCACGAGAGAGTCGTGGTGGAGAAGTAGCCCTGGTTCTTCTTGGCCAGCTGGAACTCTTCGGTGTAGAGGGAACGGGCTTCAAGGGTTGAATCATGCTTGCGCACATACAGCTGTGCCAATTTGTGCTTGAGGGTGATAGGCAGCGGTGTAGTCATCTGGTCTAGACCCTTCGACGACTGAGAAGGTTCCACCCATTCGCTGGTTTCCAGAGGGATCTTGTACAGCGAGATGGCTTGGTCAATGTATGAATCATTGGTCTCACACAGCTCGGCAAAGAGCAAAGTAGCATTGAGCGTCTTCCCGCTTGTTGCTCCGTGCACGTGGCGACAGGTCATGACATACTCAGAGGCAACCCGGTATCGCTCAGAGAAGTCAGAGCGTACGTGGGTAGTCAGGATAGCCATGTAGCCCAAGTAAGTCTTCTCCAGCATCCGGTCCACGAGTTTATTGTCATAAGTATTTTCCCTGTTGTCTTCAACAACCAGCGTCGGCCAGAGAGATCGGTAAACCTGCAAAGCAGAATCCCAATTCATCTCCGCCTCGTACAGGGTAATGAGGCCAATTGCAGCGTCAATGCCTGCTGGGGCAATTGTGTTCTTATCGGAAGTAGCCTTGTAGATGCGCTGGTAGATGCTCTTGGCCTCGCCACTCATCTCCAAACGGATTGCCAAAGCAGCTTCAAGATACATGTTATCGATGGTATGCTCGTGTGTTTCTCCGAGACGAGCAGCCAAGAAGTTGCTCATGGTGTGAAGCAAAGTCAGCGCCTTAGTGAATTGATAGGAAGTCTCGTGGAACTCGACGACAGCCTTAGCAACGGCCAAAACAGACGGCACCGGTGCTTTGTCAGAGGATATCATAGAACCGAGGGCATTCTCATACACAACTGTAGCCTGTTCCAGATGCAGCCTGCGGAAATGGCAGTAGGCTAATACCAAAGCCAGATCTGCCACAGGAGGTGCTAGGTCGTGGGAGAACTTCTGGTGAGATTTAGGCTTTTCGACTGTGGGCCAAACATGCTGCAGGACGGCCATGACGCATTCACTGCCATGGACCCAGTTCTCTTCACGCACGTAGATGCTGGCAAGGTTGTGGCACATAATCAAGGTGGTGACAGTCATATTCTCGGCACTGGCCGAAATAACGTCCAGCAGCTCAACCAGCAACTTGCGGTCCCGAGAAGACAGAGAGGATGCATTCTCCATGGAGACTGCATTTGCCATGCTTTGGGCAATTGAGAGTGCCAAAGCTGTAGAATCCTTCGAGTACTCTTGGTGAGTCTCCTTGAAGTAGTACCACATAAGAATGGACAAGGAGCGATCGAGATTGAACAGAAGCATCTCCCGAGTCTCAGCACGTAGAAGGTGCACGCGCTGCAGCATCTCCTCAGAGTGAATACCAGTAACCTCGAGATCTGCAACCAGTTCACGAATGATGACCTCAGATTCATCACTTCGGCCCTGGCGGCGGAGGAACTGGTAGTACACAAGGGCTACATTGGCCTTCTTGTCCATCATATCAACCGAGTCAATATCGCGCGAGTTGAGACCAGCCCAGAGGCTCGAAAGAACTGCCTGGGCATGGGCTACATCACCCTGATCCTCATACATCTTAGCCATATACAGAGTGTAGGAGATTCGGCGCTCGTCGGTGACCTCCATTGTGCGCACGACATTGTCATACTTGGTTCTGGCAATATCGCGGCTCATCTCGTCGCTTCCAGTTGTCGAGAAGTGATCGGTCAAAAAGTCGGCTGTCTCGGATGACTGGCGCGAATTGGTTCCATATTTCTGAAGAACTTGCTGATAGAATTGCTTTGAGATGAACAATGCGGACTGGTTTTCGTCGCGAGACTTGTACATGCTCACGATCATTCCAAGATACTTTAGGCGTTGGTTGAACTCCACTCCGGTAATCTCGGAGTCTGTCAAGATCAAGTACTTCACGATGTCTTCCTGCTGAGAGGTCATCGAGCCTCGCTCGGAGAATGACTGTATCATCATCTCGGAGCATGCCAGAGTGATCGAGTGTGATTGGCCAAGAAGCTCCTGGCTTAGCTTCCACGCTTCGTAGCAGGTCTCATCGGCGTGGCTGGCAGACGCCAATTTGGACACACGTGCGCTGAGAATCAAGCTTTCCAACAGGGCGAGAGATTTATCACCGAGAACTAATCGGCGAATGTCACTCGCAAGTCTGTAGAGCTCTACAACACTAGACCGAGTGAACTGGGACTCGCGGCAAGTCAACTCGAGACGCGCAAAGAGAATGGTGGCAGGCATGAGGTCCTTGAAGCTTGAGTTGAATTGGAACTCTCCCTCGTCGGTGAGCAAGGGCGAAGAGAGAAGATGCGACAGCCAGTAGCGTGCGGTGTATTCCAATACGGCATATTTGTCGAAGAGGTGGTTGCGCTCCTCAATGCTCAGCTTGTTCATCGAAACGTCGACCTCCTCACGCACGCTCAATTGCACACAGGAGAGGCACCTAGTGAGCAAGTCGTAGTGAGCATCCTTGATGCTCAGCTGGGACTGCCCACCGGATGATTTGGCCTGTTTGATGACGTGATCGCGAATGCAAGTGTGAGCGAAAGAGACCACACCATCACGGGTCATGACCAGCGGACTCAGAGCATTCAAGATATCGTAGCTGCTAGTGGGCTGGTCGGAGTTGTAGCTGGGACCCTTGGGGTCCACATTGAGCAAATGCTCAATCTCCTCAACTAGCAGGGGTCTCTCGGCAGCTGCGAGCCAGGAAACAACATTAACAGTGCCCTGCTGGCTGAAGTCGAGGCTCTTAGAGTGGAAGTCAATGAGTTCAGGCATCAGTTGTGGCAGGCCCTGAACACACGAAACAGCCTGGCTCAAGGTCTTTTGCTGCTTAGCGTATGCAACTGCCATTTCGGCCCAACTGAAAGAGCCCTGGGAGCGGGCTACAATGGCAGACACAGCAGATTGAAGCTGATTGG